TTGTTTGTTTGTTTATTTATGTTTTTTGAGCATTGTTGGCACAACTTTTGCTCAACACAACATCAGAGAACACTGCTACCACGTTTGCCCCACTCGTCGATTGCTCGTATTTTGCATTGAATTCCTGTTTGCCAGTTTGCAAAATGTAAATGTTTCTACTCGATAACACAAGGCTTTACTACACTTTGTGATATTTACCCTAGTCGTTCAAGTATCTTTAATTGCCTTTGCTGTGGCACGATGCAAGCTCTGCCAATTTCGAGATCTTGAAGGTTTAATTCCCTTGAAAAGGAAAAATTAAGCCAGAAAAGCAAACATTAAATTGCACACATCTTAGCCTCGAGTACTTAAGGTCCTTAAGACCTGTTTCGGGCATTGTATTCATTGAGGTAATAAATTTTATTTACTTTTTCTTATTAAACAAAATATGTTGTTCCTTTCGTTTGTGAACGTAACGCCGCAACACAAGCCATTAGCATAATGAACTTTTCATCGTTCCCCATCCTCAAAGCATAATTCATACATACTTGTATCCGCTGCTCGTTTAATATTCGGCTTTTCTCTCCTTTTGCTGGGCCAGCTGAGCTGGCGAAGAGTATTTAATTTAAATGCCGACCATAAACGTTCAAATATTTTTTAAAGCGAATTTATTACAAAATGCTAACTTTGTCATACAAACAATTCAGAAAAATTGAGGGACGAAGGCAAACACACATAAAACCCATCGCCAAAGCATGTCTTCGAACAAAACAGGAGACGGATGGGGTTTTTTGGGGGGTCGAATGCATGTCTTATCACCGGGGAATGGTATTTGGACTCACGTGGCAGCAGGAGCCCAGAGCCCAGAGCTCAGAGCCCAAGGAATGCTTGTAGGAAAATGCAACATAAAATACTTTTTAAATGTGAATAAATATTTGGCAGCAGAATGGGGAAATACCATCAAAGTGTTGCTCGGGGATCGGAAAACGGCGGGTTGGTTGCGTTTATGGCGATGCCAATGGAAATGGAGAGTGAAAATTTATATGTTAGGAGGTTAACATTTTCCATGACCAAATATATCATCGACGATGGCGAAATCAGCTTCGATGAATCAAATGAGGTGGAAAATTACCTGCAGGGAAACTTTAATATTGGTTTGGAAATTCGGAGATAAACTAGCTCAAACATAAGAGGGTAAACTAAAATAAATCTATTCAAGCAATAGGTTCTTAACTTAAGGTAGGTCAAAGTTTGTGAAACTTAAAAATCATAGTTAATTCAGTTCAAAATAGTCAGAGCAATACATTTTATTAATGAAATAAAAATAATAATCTGGAATTACAATAGCTTCTATTTTGAAAGCTTAAATAATATTCTAATAAATTGACATATAAAAAAAATATAAAAAGAAATTTATATCCAAATTCAAATATGGGAATACAGGAAATATAGTAAAAACAAGAAAAGAAGAAAACTTTGGCAGGCCGAAGGTTATATTTCCTTGTTTTCCGATTTGAATCTATTTAAAATTGTAATTCTCGTTTTTATTAATCAAAACATGAAAATTGCACGTTCCTATAATACATTCACAAAAGATAACTGATAACTTGATACTCTTAAGCACACACAATTACACAAAAATTTACTGTACAAATTGTATACTCATTTTATTACAAACTTTTAATAAAGAGTTTATTTGCACTCACCATATCTCGACAGAAGCCAAAAGTCAGATAAAGTAACTACACTCCCCTGGTATTTTGAGTGTTTATGAATTCATAAACTCGCCTAATTAGAGACGTAAACATTTTTGGTCTGAGAATCGTGCCCAATTAATTTCATACAGAGTTCGTTTAGGGGATTATAAAGCTGAAATATGATGTACTTTCGTACTTCTTTTAATAAGAATGCAATAAATGGGGAAATGAGCCTGGAAATGGCGCAAATCCAAAGTTCTTTAAACGAGGGTAAACAAGACTCGTTCAAATGGCGAGCGTGGCAAGCATCTAAATTTCATTTGCAATTGTCCCCACGTTGTTTGCATTGTCATTGCCATGGGGCATGTTAATTTTCGGTGGGGATTCCCCTCACTTTCGGTGATTGGCCTGCACATGTGAGACGGGCCAAAGTTTCGGAGCTTCCAGTAAACACTGGCTAAACAATTTAATTAATAAAAATATGCAAATTTAATTAGAAACAGCAGTCCAAGGAGAGCATCCCGCTCCGGAGCTTGTTAGGGAACATTTCAACCCGAAAGTTGCTCTAAGCTTCGTCTATGTATTTTAAGGTTTAAGCCCCTTTTTTTGGCATGCTCAAGTGAATTTTTAAAGACTTTCGCTTAAGCATTTTTTAATTGTTGCCCAGTTACGGTAAACTCCTTTATTCCTACACGAATTCATTAAGTATGAAAAGTTTCCGCATCTTAGTATTTTTACAGACCCAAGGATAAAATAAAAAGAGCGGCGCAGAAATTGAAATCCCTAAACCCAAATCATCTGCCCTTTTACGGTACGCGTCTCCTGTGTCTTTTCTGTTGCGTGCTATTCCGTTTTGTAAATTTAAAGAAAACAAGAATCGTCCTCAAATTGTCACAGTCGAGAGCATTTCACAAACAACCGCAGGGCGGGGCATAAAAATAAGTAGTTTTCCACGCCTTCCATTTCATTCAAAGCACCTGAGCGAGAGAATTGAATTTCCCAGACATTGCGTTTTCCGCAAGAAAGTAGGCAACATTAAATGATCGAAAGGTCAAAGAAGGTGTGAAAACAGTGGATATGAATATACCTTTATTTTTGAGGGAAAACATTCGCTCAGAAACATAGACCTGCAACAAATCAATTTATGAATTCTTGTTTAAATATCCTAGTCCCTACATAAATTACAACTAATTTAAGTCAGGTTCAATGCTGTTATTTCCTGGTATTGTTTTATCTTTTTTTGGAAAAGCTGTTTTAAAAGATAGCTTTTATATAACGTTTAATTCTTGTTTCCTTGCTTCCTTGCTTTTAAAAATAAAAATAAAAAAAACCATTTAAAAGCAAAAACGAAACGAAACGATCACACAACCACATATTACATTGAATAAAACTATAAACTTCTATAGGATTAAGCCTTATGAACTCATAGAAATACAAACCAATTTAAAGAGCATGGCAAAATAAAAGAAAGCAAAAATCAGATGACATGTTGCAATCCATCAATCAAAGTAATACACAACTTAATCCGCCTTTTTTTGTAATTTTGTCCGCAAAACTGAAAATTCAATTTCAGCATTGACATATAAAATGCGTGTAAAAAACGAAAGGATTAGAATCATTTGTATGAAATGTGTGACACTGTGCAAAACCATCTCACGTTTACTCCTGCCGCAGCTAAGCGGCTTTTGCCATGCACCACACTTAAATACATTTTTAATTTAATCATTTTTCAATTATTCCTGTTTTTTTTTTATCTACCTGATAGATGGTCTTCAGCTTAATGCGTACGAAAATGAAATTGAGTTTCTTGTTTATTAAAAACTAAAATTAAAGTTGTGTTTTACCAGAAACTTCATGGAATTTTCCCTAAGTTTTGGGGGAAACCAAGTCATTCGAATCACTGAACCAATGAGCAATTTCCGGAAAGTTTGAGCGCCAACTGTTGTTATTAATACAGCAAATTTTATTTTCAACTGCCGAACTTTAATATCATAAGGCTAAGATGAAGAAGTTGGAGCTAAAGTTTAAGCAATTTAAGTTAGAAACAGCTAAAAGCGAGTTAAGCTTTTCGTAAAATCATAAAACTATAAGGGTGCTCTAATATGAGAGCAAAGTAAAGCTTAAAATGATTGCGATAATCCAAAGGACTTACTTGGCCCAGGCCATGAGGTAATAAAGCCAAGGGGCCAACTTCAATTTTGCAGCATAAAATAAAGATTTTCCCAGATACAAGCGGCAAAAGGTCGCTAGGCCAAAGCCAAGCCAAAAGCAAGCCAAACCAGCCAGCAAGGACAAAGGGGAAGCAACAAATGTCCTGGGCTCAACACACATCATCGGAGGACCGTCGCAGAGGTCTTGGGTTCCATGTTGACTTTATGGCTTAGGCCAGCTGAGAAGCAATTTCCAAAAGACCAAGGCATTTGCTGAATTATAAACATATGAAATTTTGAGCCATAAAAACATAATTAAGTGGAAGTCGGAAAGAAATGTCTAACACGAGCCTATTCAATGATTTCCCTCAAATCTTTGATTTAAAGTTTCTTTGTATACAGAAAAATAACTAAGAAATTAAACTCATTTAATAGTAAACTGATATTACTTCGTTAAATTTATTTTTATTTAAAATATTGTTTGCCTAACTTTTTAAATTGTAAAGCAAAATGAATTATTAATTTTTAGTTCCTACTATTAATTTCATTTCATTAATTGGTAATTTCATTTTACCGCCGGCAAACAATAAGAGTTTTGCAATCTATTAAATTGGTAGTTCTTATGAATATCCTGTAATTAATATCCAAGGCTTAAATATTAAGCTTATAAAATAACAGGGATTTAATTTATATTTTAATAAGTTATTTATTAAAATATTGCATATTCTGTGTTATATTTTTATGTTAGCTGCTGATTATGAAATTAAAGCAACTTTTTCTGTTGCTTGCTGTTACATATTTCAAAAAAATATTTAATTTTAATATTTTAATTTTTGTTTTTACCTTAGTATTTTTTTAAGGTAATTGCTTGTACTTAAATTTTAATGTTGTTATAAGACAAAAACATACATAAACAAAAAATGCATACTATTTTTTTTTTTTTTGCTTTAAACAACAAATGTATATTTAAATTTCTTTGCTTTGAATTTCAATCTAATCTAGTTTATAATTTTCGATCTTAATTTACGCCTTTTAAACAAATAACTTTTAAATAACACACGTGTTTGGTTTTTTAATTTTCCTAGTAATATAAGCATTTTTAAAATATTTGGCTAAACATTTTAAATTACCGCAATAAAACAGAATTTTGAAATTTAATATTTCACTCACCTACTTTTACGTATGCACACAACACTTTAATTTTATATCTATTGCAAGTTCGAATATATTTCCGAATTGGTTCCACTGCAAAACACAAAAACAAAGTTCAAAAACGTTGCGAAACGGTTTTATAAAATTTGGAAAAGTTTTTCGAATATAGATTGATATTAACCGTTACTGCTGCTGACTGCACCGCTTTGAGACTGAACTGAAACGCAAGTGAAAATCGGCAGCCAAGGAGACCGCGATTTATACGAGGCGAGGATACGAAAGATTTCAACGCGTTCAGGTGGCACCCGAGTGGGAATCCCGACGTTTGCCATCCGAAACGAAGTTGGCCGCCCACAATGTGATGATGGTTGGTCGGGATTTTGCGCAGTCATGGGGCGTCGATGGGTGGGTGGTGGCGGCCACTAGTCGTATACGCAACACGTGGCAAAAGGCCAACGGCAACGGCAACCAGTTGGATACGCAAGTATCGCCAGTATCAGTTTATTAATCATCTATTACGCACAATTATCAAAGTTTTTATCGAGCCATTGTCCATCGATCATGCTATCTGCATCTAGTCTAATCAGCATCTGATTGTTTTCAATTAGTGGGCCCAGCTCCGGCAGCTGTCAGCCGTCAAACCCACTATAAATCCCACCAATATATCAGATTATTAATAATTCTTTGCGCATTATCTCATAATTGGCATTACATAATATATCTCTCGCCGTTCGACGGAACCGCTCTGACTAATCAGTGAGATTACCATCAAAAATAATTTGGTTTTTTTTTTTCGCATGCTCACAATTAGCCGTCCGTAAAAGGCAAATATCGCAATGATGAAATGATGAAATCCCGTAAAAGATAACGAAGCTATATTATGGCATATACCTGGGCTGACTGATGTAATTGAATGGCTAATCTTGGTATATGATAAAAATACTTTTCATAAAGGTTCCTTTATTGCCAGGTGAAAGAAAAATTGTAACTTTTAAAATAAAAACGACATGAAAGCCGATTTAAACTTTGTATTTCTTTAAATGAATATTAAATTTTGTAACGATTTTGTATCAAAAAGAGAGATGTGATTTTGTTAAAGGCACAAGCTTTTCCATACAAAAAATTTAAATAGAGACTTATCTAAGCTTAAAACACAAAACCTTTTAAAGTTTTGATTTAAGATATCAGCTCCATTTCCATGGTTGTTCACAAAATCGAGTTGAGAATAAAAAGTACGCATTGTTAAGATAGATTATATTTGTCGACCAGAAAACTCGAGATCAAAAAACATGAGCTTGATAAGGTTCTTTTTATTCTGTTTGTTTAATTATTTACCTTTAAAATGCTTTAAAAAAACGATTGACTTATTTCGAAAAAAAACCTTTGTCAATCCTTGTTTTGACCCAAATTTTTTTGAAGCTTTGACTGAAGCAAATTATGTAGAATAATGGAAAGGCCAACGGATATGGGGAAGTACCAAATGCGTATGAAGTTAAGCCTAACAGCCCATATCCGTATAGCCATACACATACATGTTTATCTGCACATATATGTACATACATTTATGGTTTTTATGGCACCCACAGAAAACGCGACTAATGATAATTTGGACTGATAAAAGCTTTACAATGTTTTTGTTGGCAACAACGACGTGTCCGGCTTGATTTCGGTTTTTGCCGTATTTATTTGGCGGTTGGCCTGGACGTGATTCTAATCTCCAGAGCCGCGACCTTGCCCACATAAAAAAGCCCAATGGATCTCAAATGAACAAGACAGTTGTGAACTTGGACGTACAACTGTCAAAGTTCCTGCGAGCTACATATATAAGCAATCCATAAAGGCTAATTGAGTGAAATTATGCAAGCAAATCTAGTTCTCTGACCCCTCATACATAATTCGTTAGCAACATCAAAGAAATTGCATTTTGGTGTACTCCCACTGGATGGATCAAAATCGAGTTGCTTTACGAAAACATATAGAATAATACGCATGCATATAAATCAGTTCTTAGGAAAATTGAAATTGGCTTTGTTGTATATTGTATATTGTATAATGTGTACACGTTGCAGCTTCCCGCTGTTCAAAGTCCGGGGGAGTAATGCATATTCCGACTTTATGACCTAAAAGGATGCCACGAAGGGTAAGGGCTGCTGGCATCCACTTTGAGCGGCGAAACGTCAACAGGAATCTGAGCAATTTTCCGCTGATAAACATCGGAGCAATCTGGAAAAGGCATTCAAAATCGGCGACCATAAGGTTTATGCCTGATTTGAGCAGATATACATGGCATTGCCAATGAATATTCATGCCAATCACTTGCAATCCATTGGGCAATAAATGATTTTTACAACATTGATTTACTTATTTGCATATCGACAGTTGCAGAAATGCAATTATATTTATATAACTATAGTGTGTAAGCAATTCTCAGTTATTGCGCATGATAATTAAATTTTTAGATATATATATATATATTTTATATATAAAATAATACATTTAGATAAACTTGTTATTTTAAAGGGACTATTTCCATTTAAAATAGTATTTCTGAACATGATATTTTAAGGGGGCAGGGTTGTCTGCATCTTTAATACAACTTTTTTTATTTTTTATTTTTTTTTAGTTTTTAAATAAAAGCATATCTTAGGAATGTCCTGTGAAAATTTCTTGTCGATCGGACTTAAACTCGTTGAGATACCGATTATCCCGAAATCGTGCTCAAACTTTAGACGCGTTTTTCACAAAACTACGTTTTTCAAGAGGATGCGTAACTCAAAAAGTAGTGGTCCGGTCTGAATTTAATTTTGCACACATAATTTATACAGTAAATACTTGCAGATGAACAAAAGTTTTTATTTACAATTTTTTTTTAAATATTTTTACAGGCAATAACAAGCTGATTTTTTGTGTAAAAATGGTACCTCCGACTTCAAAACCACGCCAAAAATATAAAATCGCATATTTTTCAAATAAATTTCGTTCATTCGCAAAATAAACTTGAATATTAAATATATCAATTTAATTTTTATTGTTATATCTCTGTAACAACACGCTTTACGCACCATATTTTTGAAGAGACTCCGATCAACCGCCGTCACGTGATAGATAAAAAATACAAAACCAAAAAATCTGCATAATCTTCAAGTATAGGCATTTATCGTGTAAAAAACGTTCATATTTATATTTCTTCATATTTCTTTAAGCATTGGAAACCATCCTACCCTTTTAAGAACGACAACACTGTGAGTAAAAACGTCTAAAATGATTACGCAGACCACAAAACTTTTTTCGCATATTATTTGCAAGATATTATCCCTTAATTTAAAAATGAACCATCAAACAAATTAAAAAAAAAAAGAACAGTAATACTTTCATACTTAAAACACTCGTTTATTACTTAAAACTGTTGTAAAAATTGCAAACGGAATTACAGCAAGATTAGTTTGCATATATAGAAATAAAACTAAAACTAATGAAGAGCAATTTAGCCTGCAGGTAAGATTACTCATCATCATCATCATCATCGTCGTCCTCCTCCTCGTCGTCGTCATCTTCCTCATCGTCGTCCTCGTCATCATCGTCGTCATTTTCTTCATCAATGTCGTCATCATCATCAGTGTCGTCGCCATCCTCGCCGCTTTCGCCGGCACTGTCCTCCGCCTCCTCGACCTCCTCATCGTCATCGGATTCTGCATCAGCCTCAGCCTTGGCGCCCTCGCTGGTTGACTCCTTGCGGGCCTTCTTTGTTGGCACGGCGGTGTCCTCGCCATCGTTGTCCTTGGGAGCAGCGTCAGCGGCCAGCAAGGCAGCCCTCTCCACCCGCAGCTCGGCCTTGCGCTTGACCTGATCGCTGGTTAGCTTAATGAAGTCTGCATCCTTGGTCATGGCAAATCTGGACAGCACCTCGTTGGCCTGCTTCTTCAGCTTGAGCATGCGCTGCTCCTTGGGACCCACCACATACGGTGTGTCCGCCGGCGGGGCACACATGCTGACGTACAGCGGCAGCGATGAGGTGCCAGTAATGTCGATCTTAACGTACATCGACCGAATGTTGGCCAGGCCACCGGGAAAGACTTGCTGGAGCTGCTTGCTCACGAGCAGGATGTTCTCAGCCAGCTGCTCGGCACTGTGTCCATCGTTGCCCACTGGAATGGACGTCAGATCGCCCTTGGCCAGCTGCCTGAATGCGGTGCGGTTGAGGGCGCGTGTAATCTCTTCCGGCAACTTGTCCTTTGTCAGGCGCACGGCGTGGAGCACATTGCGAGGCTTCTGCGTGTTCTGGAAATGGAAAAACAAATAGATTGGTTTAAGAAGGTTTCAACTCTGCCTATAATTGTTTAAAAAGTATTCCATAAAATGCTATCATTTGCAGGACCGATTTGCACCACTTGCAAGGCACAAAAATCGATTTCGAAAAAGATTGATATCTTTAAAAGCAATTTTCTCGGTTAAACTTCCCTAGATTGACATGCAAATTTAAGAATTTAAATAAGTTAAAATACGAGGTAAAATTAGTTACAAAACTAAAAGTAGCTGTTATGGCACCCACTTAAAAAACGGTTACAAAACAAACCTAACATTTTATCCATGTCTTGCATATGAAATAATTGATCTATTAGGATTTTAAGAAATAATCTATGAACACTTAGAAGTAATTGAAAAATTAAACAGACTAATTTAATTCGTAAAGAAATGCTGACATATTTTTAAACCCTGGTTTAAATTAAAAACCAAAAGTAAAATAACTAATTTTTGTGTAAGAACTCTAAGTATACATACGAATGTACCTATGCCTCTTCGTGGATTATTTCGTTGACAAAAGATTAGTATTTAGGGTTCTTGGAATGCACTCATTAGCGGAAAAGCAGGCAGATCACTTACCTTGCCCAAGAAGGCGGTTGCCTGGCCCGAAAGACGACCGTCACAGAGCAGGTAGTCGTAGCTGTTCAGGAACTTGCGCTTGGCCTCGAATGAGCCCATCTCGTTGCGCAGCTGGTTAAAGGGGATGACGGTCAGGCGTTGCTTCACACCGGCCTCTCGCAGCAGATCCTCGTAGTGCTGCTTGGTGGGCTCCGACTCGAACTTCGCACCGCGCTGCAAATCGGGCACGATAAGGGCCACATCGTCTGTGTTGCCCACCAGCGAATGCTTCAGGGACAACTTGACCATGCGCTTGGGACAGTTGGAGATCTTGTAGCTGGCCACTTGCAGAATGTAGCGGTAGTCGCTAAAGATTGAGGTAGCCTTCTTCTTGGCCACCTCCTCGGACACCAGGGTCTTCAGGGCCTGGCACACTTTCGTGACATTATTCTCGGTCACAATCTCCTTGTACCTTTGTTCGTCGAAGGACTTCAGTTCGAAAGTCAGCTCAAGTTGTTTCTTGGTCTTGACTGGCTCTTTCTTGACGCTTTTGCCTTTGGCCTGGCCAGCTTTGCTCTTCTTGTTGAAGGGCTTCTTGGACTTGGGGGCCTTGGAGAGCTTCTGCACCGACTTGGCTTTCTTCTGAAGCTGGGCAGCGGGTTGAGCCTTGGCGGGCTTGGCTTGGGTTGCGTCCTTGGCGGGTTTTCCCAACTTGTTGGCTGCTTCAGCAGCTGGCTTCTGGGATTTCTTCGCGGGAGGAGCCGCCTGGACTGACTTTTTGGCGGGAGCAGCTACCTGGGCTGGCTTTTTGGCGGGAGCAGCTTCCTTGACTGCCTTTTTGGCGGGAGGAGCATCCTGTGCTGGCTTCTTGGTTGGGGGAGCAGCTTTGGCTGCCTTTTTGGGCGTCTGAGCAGCTTTGGCTGGCTTCTGGGTTGGAGGAGCAACCTGAGCGGACTTTTTGGCAGGAGGACCAATCTCAGCTGGCTTCTTAGCTGTAGGAGCAGCCTGAACTGTCTTCTTGGCAGGAGCAGCTTCCTTCTTAGCAGGAGCAGCGTCTTTTTTGGCTGCCACAGGAGCAGCTTTAACCTTTTTCTCTTGTATTTTGGGTACCACTGGCGATTCTGGAGGAGCCAAAATCAGGGGCCTCTTGGCTGGCTTCTTTTTGGGCACTGGAGTGGCGGGAACAGCCGGCTTTGCTTTGGACTTCTTTTCCGCGGCAGGAGGAGCAGCTGGAGACTCCGGAGGTGCCAGAATTAAAGGCCTCTTGACCGCCTTTGACTGTTTCTTTTCGACTTCCTTCTTGGGCACCTTTTGCTCACTTTTGACGCCATCGTTTTTTTGCGACGCCGCGTTTTTTATCTTTTTGCTACTGGCCAATTCCAATGTGGCTTCTTTGGGCAGTTTTTTGGACTTTTCCGGCCTGCCCTTGTTCTTGGACACGCCCTCGATGCTGTTGCTCTTGTTTAGAGACTTGGCCTGCGGTTTCTGTACTTTAACCATCTTAATTTGCGCGAATGAAGCGTATTGAATCGAGCAAAACTATTTTTTAAATTGAATACAACCACACGTGCTATGCCCTAGAGATGGATAAGTATCGATATATCAATATCGATGGGCTTGCCTATCGAGAAACATATAAATTCCGACAGCAACTCACCATGGTGGAGAACTTTAATATAAGTTATAGAAACTCACCACCTAAAGAGAATCTTGGAAAGGTTTGAGTCAAGACTCAAACTACGAACCGTGGTGAACCATGTTTTTAAGTAATTATAACTAATTTGTTGATTTCGCTTAAAGAAATTCTAATTCTATTATTTAACTTCATATATCGTGTTTTTTACTTGGAATTTTTTAGCAGCCTTATACTATTTCTACTCTTTACATTTTTTTTTATAAAAAAACCTAGTTTTAAACTCAGAAAAGTAAAACTAAATAAAAAACAAAACATGTACAACATTTACTTGTGTTTCTAACTAATGAAATAATAAAATTAGATATTATAAAAGCAAGGCATTGTGTTTTTAACTAATGTAACAATAAAATTAGATATTATAAAAGCAAGGCATTGCTAAAGAAGCATTTTTATGATTATGTTACAGAATATTAAACTGCATATTTTAATTTCTTAGGCCTGTTTAGTTTCTCAACTTTTCAAATGCCTTGTATTGCATTAAATTGAGTTCATACTTTTGAGAGTTCTTAAAATCAAAAAATCGAACCAACAAAAAGTTGCATTGTGTTTTTTTAAGCGCAAGTACCAAGCGTTAAAAACGAATAATAAGTTGTTGGGCAGTTCAACTTGGAATAGTCTATTTTTATTGTATTTTACGCCCACAGGTCTGCACCAAAAACACTGTTTCCCATTGTAATCAGAGAAAAAAGCGAATATTTTTCAAGTAGTTTACTTACTTGCAGCTCTTCCTTTAATTCGGGTTCTATTTACATAGCAAACAGTTTATTTTAAGTAAATAATTCTAAAAATAATCATATTCCGCACACTGCACGCGTGCCTAATAGCCCACTGGGCCACCGAATGTCCTTGACTCACACACAGCCACACATAAATCGCCCACACACCACATACACCACGCACACCCAGGACACTCGCAAGGAGAACATTAAAAGTACGGGCGCATGGCATGTCCCATGGTGCCCCAAATTGAAGACTTGCTTCACTCGCAGGGTATGCCAAAGTTATTCTTGTAACCAGGAATCCGTTGTGGACATTTGTGTGTGCTTGTGACCATTTTCTGGCACGTGACTTGAGACGAAAAAACTTGGCTGGCTGAAGGCAATTATCAGATGTAGAAGTCTTAAAAATATATATTTATAGCTTAAGCTTCTTTGCATTCGCCTTTGCTGGATCCTTTTTCGGCCTCTTGTTGGATGCTGTGGCCGCTGTGGTGTCCTGTAGTTTGTTAAAGAACGCCTTGGAGGACTTCAGAGCTCCCTTGTCATCGCTACTCGCGTTGATCTGTAAGAAAAGTTTCATATTAAAAATTTGTAAAAAAACTTAGATATAGAAATAAATTTACTTTATAACAAAAGATAAAATTGTCTTTAAGCTTTTGGCTTAAAGTTCTTGAAAAAGCTATATTTTTCCTAAAACTAATATTATTTTATAGTTTATTGCAACTATTTTTAAAACAAAAATAATGCAACCTTTGTGGTTGAAGCGACGCTTTGTAAGTTTAAAAAAAAAGTTTACAAAAAAGATACTTTAGAAAACTACATTATGCAAGCGCTTACTTTAAAGACTAGACTACTTGTTGCATATGTATGAATATATATATAAATAGTATATATATTTACCTTCTGAACATTGCGGTTTTTGGTGATGCTCTTAAGGAGCTTGGCGTCCGCCTCCTTCTTGGTTGGCGCCTTGCCTTCCTTGGCGCGCTGAAGGTCACGCTGCTCCAGAGCCGAATTAATGGCCCGCTGCTTTTGTTTCTTCTTGCGGCGCTCGCGGTTCTTGTCCGTCCGGTCGCGTTCCGTCTTACCAAGCGGAGCGTGCTTGGGTCCACGGAATACTTCCTCAGGCGCCAGTAGCTTGGCATCGCTTACCGCCAACGGGGCAACCTCTTCCATGTGCACTGCCGGCGTATTGGTCACGATCTTGATCTCCGGCGCCACTGGTTTCGGCGTAAAGTGGAAGTTGGAGAGGGCATCCAGTTTGAGAAACAGCGAACGCATGGCCCGCCTGATTTCTTGGTGTTCTTTGGGTTCTGGACCAGATTTATCGTCGGCATCGCGATTAGGGTCGAGTTTTTCCATCTCACGCTGATACTGTGCCTCGTAGATCTGCGACAGGGACTGCTTCGACTTCTCCTGGTCCAGGACCAGCTGCTTGCGGTACTCCTGCGGAGTGTTCACCGGACGCACAGTGCGCTCCACATCGTCCCAGGCTTTATCACGAATACGCTGCTTAATAATGTCCTCGATGGAGCGATTATCCTCCTCAGTGATGGGTGCCGTGGGTCTGGTGGTGGAGTCAAAGTCAAGAATCTCTTCGAGCAGCGAGTTCTGGGGCCGATTGGCGGCTTTGACCTCGCCCTTCAGCTGCCAGGGCTTCTCGCCCAGGACAACGTCTTCGTAGTCACGAATGCGTTGGAACAAACGAGCCTCTCTCATCTCATTGGAAGATTGGGAGGGTGGCTCAACAGGTGCCTGCTCATTCTCCTCCTCTTTTTCCGAGTCGGAGTCGTCCGAATCGCTGGCGGGTTCTATGCCACTTTTAGCCACAAACTCTGATTCATCTATTTCGCTGGCTACCTCCTCTTTATCCTCTGCAGGCTCTGCTTCGTCTTCTTCGTTTTGATCTGACTCAGCTTCTTCATCTTCATTTTCGTCCTCTTCCTGGTCACTATCATCTTCGTTTTCATTAAAGAAATCTTTCTGCTTGCCTTTGTTTATATTTTTAGCATGCTGTTCCAGTTCCTCGTCCATATCGAAGAAATCGGCGTAGTTGACATTGCCGTCTTCGTCTTCGCCCAGGCCGAAATCCTCTGCATAGTGATCAATGTCATCGGCCTGTTCCACGCGACGCTTGCTGTTCAGACGGCGCATCTCCTTGGCATCCTCCTGCTCCAAGAACTCGTTCATCTCGTCCAGCTTGAAGAAGGTGTCGTCAACCACAGAGTGGCGACCTCGCTTGTTCTTTTTTTCCTTAGGCGCTGTGCCCTTCTTTTGGGGTTGATCTCCATCCTCGTCGCTGAATTCAGATTCCTGTTCTTCTTCCTCATCAGCGGACTCTTCAGCCTCCTGATTCTCCTCCTCTTCCTCCTGTTCCTCGCCGTCGTCCAGCTCGATGCCCAGATGCTGCACCCTAATCGCCGTCAACTGGGCGGTTTGCTCCAGCATCTGCTGGAAAACCAGCTCGTTTCGCATCTCCAGTTGCTGCCAGATCTGCTCCTCGTCCATCTGCTCCAGCACCAGTTCCGGCAGCAGTGATTTCTTGTTCGCCACATCCCCGCTGATGCTAACGGCGTACGTCTGCTGAATTAGCTGCTCGATGGCCCCCACTTGATCCGGCTGTGGCCTAAAATGAAAATTGTTTAGAACTCGCTTGAAAAAAACACGTGCGCGGGCACTGAGAGGAAAACAAACTTGAGAAAACGCTCCAAATTCTTGGTCAGCTGCTCGAAGTTATCCGAAATTTCCTTTAAGACATTTGCCTTTTTCGTTTTTTTGCTTCCGATCATATTTAATTGTATTTTCTGTGTTTATTTTGCTAAAATAAGAGTTTTAATAATTCAACGAAGCAAGTGCGGTCAAAATACAACAAGAGCGGTTAGAGATGGCACTGGCAGCATGGACTGCACTAGCTAAAGATGACTGCGTGAGAGGATTTAGTAACAGTTTTAACTGGTGTCACGAATTGAATAAAATTAGCTGAATCGATTTCATTTTTAAATTATTATATTAAATTTTTCTTTTAAAATTCTACGCTTTTTAATGTAACTAAATATGACAGACAAAAAAATGTACCTTGTATATTGCTTATTGAAACTTTTTGTCCAAGCTTGTTAATCGTTTTCGCAAATTGTATCCTCAGATAAATGGTATAATGGGGTTTTTCTTTTTAGAATGTTCTTAAATGTATAACAAGAATAATTAATAGAAATTAGCTGACTTGTCAACGCAGTTGGCGGTAATCAGAAGATCGTGTCACGACATCAGCCCGCTTGATATCGACAACCTATCGAGGGCCTCTGCCACCACTAAGAACAGCTGTAGGCGGCTTCTTTCAGGCGGAGTCCGACGACGTATCCAAAAACTATGCCCAATTAAGAGATGGATGCGAAATTCTTTAAACTGCTGCTCCTTGGCGGCGCCGTGCGCTTCTATTTCTGCCGCACGCCGCTGGCCGCGATGATTGGCAACCGAGTGGAGTTCGCGACGCCGTTAAATTCACACAAGCGCAGTGAGTAAACAACGTAGACATCATATACATTTATACATGAATGTTTTTCTGGTCTTATCCCTGCAGTGCAAGAGGGGATCTTTCTGCTCCAGAGCGGCATTGATCCCTACCAAGGCGATCTGGTCCATGAGTCGCCTTTGATTCTCAGCGCCCTTTCCGGCTTGTTCCAAAATTACCCACAGTTCTTGCCCGTATTCTATATAATCTTGGATGTTTTTACGGCGGCCCTGCTTTATACGATGGCTCGGCGTTTTGTAAAGCAAAAGGAGGATCAGCAGAATGTGGAGCGAAAGGAATATGCAAAGGATACGGAGGAGCTGCAGTTTAGCGACCTGGACAAGCTCGACATTCCGGAACTGGTGATTGTGGCGTATCTTTTTAATCCACTCACCGTGATGAGCTGCATCGGCATGACCTCGACGGTGATAAGCAATCTGTTCCTGGCTTTCTTTCTCTACTGCCTTGTGAAAGGACTGCTTCTTCCCTGTCTTCTGGTCCTGGCCTTTGAGACCGTCCGCAGCTTCTATCCCATCGTGCTGATAGCTCCACTTCTCCTGGTTTTTTCACGGAATTCTATACGGAGGGGTGTGGTCATATCGCTGCTTTTTATAGTCTGTTGCCTGGCAGTCGCGGTCGCCAACTTTTTTGTTCTAAAAAGCTGGAACTTCCTAGATGGCACTCTGGGATTTATGTGAGTTTTAAAACCATGGTTGAACATAATATCTATATACTTTTAATTAAATGTATTTTACAGATTCTATTTCCGCGATCTACAGCCAAATATTGGTTTGTTCTGGTATTTTTTCACCGAAATGTTCGAGCACTTCCGAACCATGTTCCTGATCACATTCCAATTGAATGCCACAGTATTATACCTGGTGCCACTCAGTATCAAGCTGCGCAAAGAACCACTTTTGCTAGCCACCGTTCTTGTGGCTCTTATGGCTGTTTTTAGAGCTTATCCCAGCCTGGGCGATGTGGGCTTCTATTTGGCCTTGCTTCCTCTGTGGAAAAGATGCTGGAAATGTGAGTCCCTGACTTTATAAACAATTTATCCCTAATAATTATTTTGTTAACGCATTTCAGTCATGGCCCATGGTTTTGTGGTCTTCACATTCTTCTTGGTAACGCTATCCATGATGGGAGCTTTGTGGCATTTGTGGATCTACGCAGGATCGGCGAATGCGAACTTTTATTTTGGCGCCACACTGGCGTTTTCCACCGGTCAGATATTCCTCATCACCGATTTGCTGTTTGCTCACGTTAAGCGCGATTTTTGTCTGTTCAACGGCCAGAAGATTCTGATCGATGGCGAGGAAGCGAGGATAGTCCTGAAGTAAGCATTAACAATATCAGATCAAAAGGAAGTAGAATCCAGGAACTTTGTACAGATGCAGCCAGGCATACTCTTAAGATAAGTGAACTTTAAACAATATCAAATTAAAACAAAACATTTTATTTGATCTCGATGGATTTACTGATGTGAATAGCCCGTTTTGGTCTTGCGGTTAAGGAACCTGTACAGATACAGGATGCGTTTCTCCATTTCCCGCCATTTGGTGGGTCGGGCCACTGGGTATTTGGATTTCTCGAGCAGTCTGCGCTTACGGAGCAGCACCTGATACTCGTTGCCGGAGACGCCACGCAGCCAGGAGGGCAGGGAGTAGAGGACCTTCACCGGATGCAGTCTGTCGTTGCCCAGAATGTCGATGTAGTCGTTTTGGCCAAAAAGGGCGCGTTTCTTGGACCAGGCGTTCTTCGGACGATACACGGGCATGGGTAGCTTTTGCCCGTTGTCCACATGGGGCAGTAATCCGCTCTTGAAGATCTTGTCCTCGTATCCATAGCGGCGCACAGTGGGACCGCGTGCTCGTCGCTCTGCATGGGATAACTGTCGCACAGTGGAGCTCGTGGAGGCCAAGGGAGCGAGTGGTTTACCACCCACTGCCAGGAGCGTGGCTCTGCCGAGCTTCTGAATAGTACTTCCAAGCCAGGACATGGCTTTATTTTAATTAACGATTAGATAATTGTAAACACAGTCGGGAAATGAGCGGAGAAAAACACGGAAAGCACAGCTGTTCGTGCTAAAATATCGATATATCAATGTGAACTATCGAAAGTGCCGGTCGTATATAAATATAAAACAAATTTAAAAGGGATATTTCCCTTGAATTTTTTGGATATAATCTGATTTTTATTTACTACAAGATTGAGATAAATTGAATATGAATTTAACAAATAGGCATTATTTCAATAATTTTAATGAATTATAAAACATTAGAGCTTTAAATGTTTTTTAATGGCAGACACATTTTTGCGCAGCAAACTAGGTATATGTTTCTCCGTTTGAAAAACAAAATTAAACAGTATGCAGATAGCTGTTCTAAAAAATACATTTATTTAAATTGAAATAATTAATCATCTGAGTAACTGTTACCACAAATGTTATCGATAATTCTAATTTTTTGCCGGTGCTTATCGCTGCCGCTGCCCATCGATCAGCTGATTGCCTTGGGAGAAATTTATTTAAATTACTTTGCCCATTGTTGACCAACTTCCACACCAACACAATGATTGAGTCCGAGGCAGATTCAGAGAGGACCAAACTGAAGCGGGAGATCTCCGAGCTGCGGGCAGCGCTCAACAGGAAGGAGCAATGTTTGCGGGAACTGGAGGCCATGGTTCCTGCTTTAGCCGGAGCAGAAAATCACGACGAAGGAGATCCACCAGGAGCTATAATCCACACCAAGTTGACCAACGATGACATAGCAAGGTATAGCCGACAGCTTATATTGCCGGACTTTGGAGTCCAAGGACAGTTAAAGCTGAAAAACAGCTCCGTGCTGATTGTGGGCCTCGGCGGATTGGGCTGCCCGGCGGCACAATATCTGGCAGCAGCTGGATGCGGACACCTGGGACTCATAGACTACGACGAGGTGGAGCGGAGCAACTTTCACCGCCAAATCCTGCATTCAGAAGCGCGATGCGGCATGTCCAAGGCGGAATCGGCCAGGATTGCCCTGCTGGAACTGAATCCGCATTGTGAAATCCGCTGCCACTCGAGACTGCTTTACAGCCAGAATGCCATGCACATTATCCGTGGCTACGATGTGGTCCTGGACTGCAGCGACAACGTACCCACGCGTTATCTACTCAACGATGCCTGCGTGATGCTGCGCAAACCCCTCGTCTCGGGTAGTGCCCTCAAAATGGACGGCCAGCTGACCGTATATAGCTATGGCAATGGACCCTGCTACAGGTGCATCTATCCAGTGCCTCCGCCCCCGGAGGCAGTCACAAACTGCGGCGATGGCGGAGTCCTGGGCGCTGTCACTGGCACCATCGGAGCCATGCAGGCGCTGGAGGCCATTAAGGTGATTGTGGGATTGGGCGATGTGCTGGCCGGTCGCCTGCTCATCTTCGATGGCACCAGCAGCCTGTTCCGCAACATTCGCATCCGCAGCAAGCGGCCCAATTGTCATGTGTGCTCCGCCCAGCCACTGATCACGGAGCTGATCGACTACGAGATGTTCTGCGGAATGCACGCCACCGACAAGGACAATCCCTTGCAACTTCTGGCGGCGGATGAACGCCTGTCCGTGGAGGAGTACAGTGAGAAGCTTCAGGCCAAGCCCCACCTGCTAATGGATGTGCGGCCAACGGCCGAGTTCGAGATTTGCCAACTACCCAAAGCTGTGAATGTGCCGCTGGTCGAGATCCTAGACGATAGCTACCTTAAGCGGTTCGCCAAGCAGCTGGAGGACAAGGAGTTGCCCATCGTCCTGCTCTGCCGACGGGGAAATGACTCCCAGATCGCCGTTCAGCATGTACGGAATAGATTCCCCATGCATTCCGTTCGAGACCTGATTGGTGGACTGCACGCCTGGACAAAGAGTGTGGACCCCAGTTTTCCTATATATTAGTCCAACGAATTATATACGTTTGATTGTATGTAGATTTATTCTTTGTTTATTTCCTGCAATTACATTCGCCTGTTTTGTAATCACTATAATACCAAGGTTGTTTAATAAAATGAATTATGTAGTTCTGTCTTATGAAAAATGGTCGAAGCTTTAAATACCCTTAAACAACAATAAAGTAATGAATTTTATTAAATGAAATTCATTAACATAATTAAAAAAAAAACCGAGGTGAGAAACTGCTGATATTCGCAGTCTCAGTTTCTTATAAAAAGTACACCCATATATGTTTATATCTAGATCTAAATCTAGAGCTCTCAACTATTTTTTAATTAACAAGATGTCTTTAATCTTAAACATACATATTTTTAGTATCGGCTTTTCAGTTTGCACGCCTATCTGTTTCAGACTTAATTATAATTCTTTCCTTGTTATGTTATGAATTACAAAGCTGAACTTCCGCAACAATGTAAAATGAATAGATTGTAGTTTGTATAATTGAAGACTTTTAGTAGGCAGTAAAAGGGCATTAGCATTTGTTTATAAATGGAATATAGAGTGAAAGCACTGCTCATTTTCGTAGGAGAGTCGATCGAGCCAGCAGCACCGCAAAATGCAGACCGAAATTCTACAGTTTTACAAAAACAAAACGGTTTTTGTAACAGGTGGTACTGGATTTCTGGGAAAAGGTATTTCATCTCGCAAAATATAGGACTTAATGAAAAGGACCTATAACAGGAATATTTTCACTCTTATTTTCAGTCATCATTGAGAAGTTACTGCGCTCCACAGATGTGATTCGTGTATATTTTTTGGTAAGACCGAAACGGAACGACAATGTGGAAGGTCGATTTAAGGCTTGGAAAAATGAACCAGTGAGTAATCAAAAAATTTTGAATCAAATCCTATGAATTACGTTTTACAGCAATTTTTTTTACAAAACGTGTTGAAAGGTCACATGCTGCGTGCTCTTTGTTGCTATGCTAATTTCTAAAATCATTAGACATGGTAAACTCCAAGTCAAACATCCTTAAAAACCAAGAGGCCTTGGATATCGGATCAACAGTGCTTTTAGACCTTTATTAAAGGATCAGCCGATTTCAAATTTAAACTGAATTAAAGTCGAGTTTATAGATTGATTCTGCTGCATGTGACCCTGATCAAGAATGTTTAAGGGGGTCTTCTACTCTCGCATTTAAATTTACATGTATCTGGTAAAGAGCTGCAAAAAGGATTTTGTCGAAATAATCCGAAATAAAGGATGTAAACTGTTAGGTACCTATTTCAATTAAGTTGTACACCGTAATTTACCTTTAAACAGAGTAATACTTTTTATAGAAGAACTAGTCCGATTTGAATAACTTTTTCCAATTCTTTACAAAACGTATCGCTTTGTTTTGCCGAGTACGATTTTTGTTTTTTGTTCCGGCCCCTAAAAGGTCAAAAAATTACGTATTAATTGATTTTTTTTAATTATTTTTGCATTGCTTCTGCTAATTGCAAAATAAACTAAATTTGTTCGGGGAAAACATAGACGACGTAGCTACGAATCTAAGGAATAACATTATTCTGTTTTTGGATCAACGCACTTACAAAAAAGGAACTTAAGTGGGACCACTATTGTTTTTACATGTGCTTTGAATTGTTCTGTAAACATTTTTTTTTTAATTTTAAAAACAAAATTTATAAGTCAAAACATGTATATTTAAGAAGTAAAAAACAAACCAAAAGTCCTTACCATTTTCGTTTGAATCTTGGTTGGAAGAGATTTTTATAGCACCCCAGTATAAAATAAACCTCCATAAGTAATGGACAAATGTTGTGTCCCAGGTTTTCGAAACTCTGCTCAAGATCAAGCCGCAGGCTCTGGAACTAGTGAAACCCATTTCCGGGGACTGCAGTGAACCGGGTCTGGGTCTCAGCAATGTAGATCGAAGGACGCTGACCTCCGAGGTCCAGATCGTCATCCACAGTGCCGCCTCCATTCGCTTTGTGGAACCACTTCACAGGGCGCTTAACATCAACACACGAGCCACGCGCCTCATGGTGCAGCTGGCCAAGGAGATGCAGTGCCTCCAGGCTTTCGTGCACATCTCTACGGCCTACTCCAACTGCCCATCGGATCATATCCAGGAGCGTTTCTATCCGGAGCACTTGTCCTGCCCGGCGGACCAAGTGCTCAAGTTCAACGAGACCTTAAGCCCAGAGCTGATGGACAAGATGTCTCCGGCTCTGATGGGAAAGTTCCCGAACACCTACACCTACACCAAGGCCCTGGCCGAGCAGGTGATCCAAATGGAGGCTCAGGACCTGCCCATCTGCATTTTTCGACCTGCGATAAGTGAGTGGATTTGAATGTAAAGAAGGCTTGGTCATGTTTGTTCTATTTATTAGTTAGATATATATTTTTCATTCAACAGCATACATAAGAATTTTCAGAATACAGTAGACACTAAAATTTGACATATTGTATTGTATTGTAAATTGTAACTTCTCTAATTTTCAATTTTTTTAAAAATTCTTTTGGACATATTAATGGTATAATAGTTTAGACTTACGCATTTAATTTTATTTAAATCGGAAAACGATATCATATAGTTCTATAGCTGCCATACGAGCGATCGAATAATTGAGGTGAAAATCATCGTAGTTATAATGTTTTAGATTTAGATGGTTTAAAAAAATATTTAATTTATGTAATAGTTGCAAGGGTATAAAAACCTCTGCTTGCCAAAGATTTCTCCCTTGCTTGTTATAAATTATATTTATATTTTCAATTCATCAGAATTATTAGCAATTGCTTGTTATAAGAATTTATCAACTGAGTGATTTAACACAGAGAAAAAGATTTTCCAAAATGCTCATATTATATTTTATGTGACAAAAAAAAGCATGTTTCTCTTAGAATCTTTTAATATATCTGTAACTAGTTTATGAGTTTAGTTTATTAAAAGACCAATCATCGTATTTTTTACAAATACAATAGATTCCAATAATTAATAATACGTTCTCCGTAAACGAACATCGTTATTCCAGTCTAATTTGAATATTTCACCCTTTGCAGTTTTAGCCAACTTTAAGGAACCGATGTCGGGATGGATTGACAATCTTCACGGACTCGTAGCCTTGATATACGGCAATGCCCACGGCATTCTTCGTCTGATTTATGCCAATCCAAAGGCCGAGGCTTTATTGGTGCCTGGCGACTATTGTGCCAATGTGACTCTTGCATCCGGTTGGCACATGGCCAAGAATGCCAAACCAAAGAGTCCAGCGCCCATTTACGCCTTCGCTCCGAGCAAATCGAATTCCATTACCTTTGGGGAATCAGTTAAGATGGGCATCGAGTACAACCATAAAATTCCGGTGACCAAAACAATTTGGTATCCATTTGCTCACTTCACCACCTGTCCGTGGCTTTTTCAATTGGGCTGTTTCTTTTATCATGTGCTACCCGGATATTTGTTTGATCTCTTGTTACGGCTTAAAGGTGAAAAGCCCATTCTGGTAAAAAGTTATCACAAAATCCACGAGACACTGGTGCTTCTGTACCCGTTTAACGGAAAAACCTACTTGATGGATACGAAAAATACCACCCAGATGTGGCAGTCTATGTCGCCGGAGGATAGGAGTATATTTCCCTTCGACATGGCCAATCTCAACTGGGAGGAGTACTTCCGTCGCATCCTGTCCGGGATGCGGGTATACCTCTTTAAGGAATCCTGGGATACCTTGGCTCATGCTAAACGTAGATTATTCAGGTACGTAGAAATTAGTTTTGGGAGGAACGATCTTAAAAGAATTATTGATTTCAGATTTTACTTAATGCATCGCTTCCTTCAACTTGTGCTATGCTTTGCTTTCTCCAAGTTTATTTGGTTTTTGTACAATCTTGTTATTAATGAAGAACCTAAAACACAAGTGATTTCTGTGACACCCCGGAAATTTAGTTTGGGATACTAATTTGCTCAAGAAGATTAAAAGTGTTTATAATTCCAAACAAATTTTATAAATTTCCATAAATAAAAAAAAAAATAACAACAACTTAAATGTATTTTAAGAAATTATTTGTTTTTATTTGATTAGCTGGGTGAAACTTATAAAAATAATTTTATGAACTTATAATTTTAAACGAAACTTATTTTGTGCTTAATTTTTCAAGCAGATTAAATAGAATTTTTAGTACGAGCTATAAAAATACTCTAGTATAACGCAGTTTAATGAAAGTTATGATTTCCTAACAAACAGCAGAAAAATATTTTTAAAATTATAAATCTACTTTTTATTTAACTTTTCAGTTTCCGTTAAGTTTTAAATATATTTGTTTTTAAATTCCAGCTTAGAAAAACTCAATTAGTTAGATAAGTTCTAATATTGGACAAATGTGATATAATAGTAATGCCGCACAGAATGCCGTTAGGTATGCAGACAACAGCTGAGTGACGTCCAAGCTGCGGATAATGCAAAAACATTGGCAAAAAAAAAAGCAGGTAGATAGGCGGGCAGGTGTAAAATTTCGGAGCACTCACACTCTGGTGATTGTAACTGAATATGAGACTGCAAGCAATTTTTAAATTGTATCGAAATCGAAAACGCATGAAGACAGAGTTGCTCCCTCAGACATTTTACCGCTTTACAAGCTACTTAAAAATTATTACCTATGTTTTCATCTGGTATTATTTTGTACAACTCAATTTAGTTTATAATAGTAAATACGAACAAGTATAGACATTTCCTTATACAAAAACTTAATTTAATTGAAGGAATTTAAGAAATCTTTTCCCAAAACTAAATTGGTTGTTCCAAAGTAGTGTGTTATTTATTTTTTTTTTTACATTTTTCTTATTTCTTAAAGAGGATTTTTAAGTCATAACTTGAACTTGGGAGTTCCCAAATGCAGTATTAGAATTAAAAAATAGATAGAATTGAAAAATATGAAAGCATATTTTGATAGGGATCTTAAATTATGAACAGTTTTTAGACACATTTTTTGAATTTTTCCCTTTAACCTAATAATATAGTGCACTCAACTAAAGAAAAAGTCCAAGAAGATTGTTTTAATTCATTTATTCTGATGCTAGAGGGACAGTACTTGTAAAATAACGGACTCAGTTAGGTTATGTGTTTTTAATATTCCCCTGATTTCCAGAGTTGATTTAAAATCTGGTCACCAAATTAATTAATTTCCCTTAAAACTAATAATTATATTTGCCTATTAAATAAAAATCGATGACGTTTACTTACATTTATTTATTTTGAAGCTACTATGATTTCCAAAGTTGGTCTAAGGTGATTAATATAATCTGCACACCGAAATAAAAATTTATTTAAGGAATTGAGGATATTTTAATTTTTTTATTCTAAAGTAACAGAGACAAAAAGCTTATATAGTATATTAATGTCTCTATAAATTCCAAAGTTTGTCTTAGTTGTGTTTATATAAACTGGCCATTTCTAGCGGCCCCCAAGTTGGCATCACTGTGAACTGCTTTAATCTTGTGTTTACAAATGCTGCTGCCCGTGAACGCTCTTATAAAAGCAGTTCTCGGCGGCATCGTGGATTCAGTAGCTCCACAACAGCGTCGCGAAGACAAAGCAATCTGAATTGTTACGTCCCAGTTTTGCGCCGTATATTACTAAAATTCAAAGTGCAGAGTAGCGCTGATTAGCAGCTCAGCTTGACCCGGGAAAGACTCCAGTAAAGCAATGGGGTCATTTAATATAGCCGCCATTTGGCTACTCCTAATGCTGTGGGTGAGTTTATTCAGCCAAAAACAACGTATTCTTCTGTTTCTATATTTAAACATTTTTTTTATTTATCAGCTACCCCACGGCCTGTCCATGGGTAATAGCCAAAGCAATAGCAATAGCAATAGCAATAGCTGTTCGGCTTCGGTACTGGAGGCACGCCGGTTTTTCGAGCTGGAAAATGAGCTATTAAGGAAGCGCTATCACGAGAAGTTCCTGTCCGCGTATACCTACAACACCAATGTCACAGAGGAGAATCGCCAGGCAATGATCGAGATTTATGCCCGCAATGCGGAGTTCAATAAGCGCCTGGCCCAGCGGATTAAGGCCTCCGATTATGTCCAGTCCGAGGATGCGGATATACGGCGTCAGGCTGAGCACCTCTCCAAACTGGGAGCATCCGCCCTGAATCCCGATGACTTTTTAACCCTGCAGAATGCCATTAGTTCAATGCAAACGAACTATGCCACCGTCACAGTGTGTTCCTACACGAACCGCACTGACTGCACTCTAACTTTGGAGCCGCACATTGAGGAGCGTCTGGCCCACAGCCGGGATCCTGCGGAGCTATCCTGGTACTGGCAGCAGTGGTACGACAAGGCGGGAACCCCCATGCGGGACCACTTCGCCGAGTATGTACGGCTGACGCGCAAGGCGGCCCAATTGAATGGTGAGTAGTGATGGATGCCACGATAACCCGCGGTCTGACCTCAAATGGGGAAATGTCTGGCCAGCACGGACAGAAAATGTGTTCATTTGGCATTTATCTGCTTTCGGTCTTGTTATACATTGTCTAATTATTAAATTAGATTATTAATCGTGGTAAGAAAAATGCAGAATTTACCTTTTAAACTTCAAAATAGCTGACCAAAAAAGAGTCAGGGAATATTTAAAACCAAATCAAGTTAATTGAAATTTATTTGATTAGTAAAGTATTATAACAAAACAAACAAGAAAGGAATATATATAATATATTTTATAAAGCGACTATATGTCAATTTTTATTCGTTTATGTTTAACAACTTCTATTTCCCGATGAATTATTTTAATGTTTCTATGGCAGCTTTGTATATATTAATATATTTAAATATTTTCAGCAACTTTAAATCGTAATTCTTAAATAAGGGAGTTTTATATTAATTGATAATTTGTTTAATTTTTTTTTCCAATTGTTCCTATGGGAGCTGTTCATACATTCATCCTAAAAATGTAGAAAAAACCTTTTAAACTGCAAGTATCAGACGAAAATATAATGTCGGGTTTAACCGAAAATCGATTGAGATTGTGTAAAATACACTTATTTTTATAGTGAAATATAAAGGCGTTATTATAACTTATAATTTTTAGCGATTATATTTAATTTTATAATCAAAAGAAAGTCTTTGAGAAAATACTTTCATTTTAGGCCTAGCAAAAAAATGATCCCTAAAGTTTTTTAGCTAAATATATTTATGGTTTAAATTAATTTAAAGCCTATTTGAAAACCAAAAGTAAAGATTATTTTCTCAGTGACTGCTTATGTGAAAATAGCTCGCAATGGTCCTAAAAATAGTTTACAATCAATTAAATTGCTCAAACTGTTTGTATACAATACTATTACTTAATATGAGGTTATCACTTTTTTAGACTTTGATTTGGACTGCAATAGCAAGAATGCCTGAGAAGGCACATACTATTAAATAAAAAATATAGTTTTTTAAGATTCAAAACTAGTTCTTTCTGTCTATCTACAGATCACCGCTCTTATGCCGACTACTGGTTGCAGTTCTACGAGGATGCCGATTTTGAGCGACAACTGGATGCCACATTTAAGCAGCTGCTGCCCTTCTACAGGCAAATCCACGGCTATGTGCGCTATCGCCTGAGGCAACACTACGGTCCGGATGTGATGCCAGCGGAGGGAAATATACCCATCAGCTTGCTGGGCAACATGTGGGGCCAGTCTTGGAGCGAGCAGCTCGATCTGTTCACTCCCTATCCGGAGAAGCCCTTTGTGGATGTGAAGGCCGAGATGGTGCGACAGAACTACACGGTGGAGAAGCTGTTCGAACTGGGCGATCAGTTCTTCCAGTCCCTTGGGATGCGTGCCCTTCCTCCGAGTTTCTGGAATCTGAGTGTGCTCACCAGACCCGAGGATCGTCAGGTGGTTTGCCATGCCTCCGCCTGGGACTTTTACCAGGACAGCGACGTGCGGATCAAGATGTGTACCGAGGTGGACAACAACTACTTCTATATCGTGCACCATGAACTGGGACACATCCAATATTATCTGGAGTATGAACAGCAGCCGGCTGTCTATCGAGGAGCACCCAATCCTGGCTTTCATGAAGCTGTGGGCGATGTCATCGCCCTGTCGGTTATGTCCGCAAGGCACTTAAAGAGCATAGGACTGATAGAGAATGGTAAACTGGACGAGAAGAGTAGAATTAATCAGCTCTTTAAGCAGGCTCTGACGAAGATTGTCTTTCTGCCGTTTGGTTATGCCATGGATAAGTATCGTCATGCCGTATTCCGCAACGAACTGGACGAATCCCAGTGGAACTGCGGCTTCTGGCAGATGCGATCAGAATTTGGTGGTGTCGAACCGCCGGTTTTCCGCAGCGAAAAAGATTTTGATCCGCCGGCCAAGTACCACGTGAATGCGGATGTGGAGTATCTGCGCTACTTTGCCGCCCACATCTTCCAGTTTCAGTTCCACAAGGCTTTGTGCACCCAGGCCGGCCAATATGCGCCCAACGACAGTCGCCTGACATTGGACAATTGCGACATCTTTGGCAGCAAGGCGGCGGGTCGATCTCTGAGCCAGTTCCTCTCAAAGGGCAGCTCCCGCCACTGGAAGGAGGTGCTTCAGGAGTTCACGGGCGAGACGGAAATGGATCCAGCCGCTCTCCTGGAGTACTTCGATCCACTCTACCAGTGGCTCAAGCAGGAGAACCGTCGGTTGGGCGTTCCATTGGGTTGGGGACCTACAAACAGTAAGTACTTGGCAATATAAAACATATAAATATAAGAATATGTATCCATTACACTCAAAACAATAATACCAACACTTATCAATATTTTCCCCAAACTTACACATGGGTTTTTATAATTAAATATCTATATTTTTGCAGAAATCTCCCCGGATTGCTGTGGAACATTCAGCACCTAGACTGAGCCATCCAGAAATTGACTTGAGGTCGTCGCGACCCACAAAAAATAAATATGTTTAGTCGCTTGATAGAAAAAAAAACCAAAAACAAATAAACAAATCTAAGAACTTTTTAATGAATTCAACATTTGCGCATTGATATTTAAATTGATATTTATTGTATCGATACATTCGTATCGTTTCTTTCGTTTCATTAATAAATTGCCATTACATAATACACTTTTCAACGATATCTCATCACCATATTTCATCAAAACCCAAAAAATGTGTATAAATTATATATTTTCGTAAATTGTGTTTTTATCTCAACCCCAAAGTTTTATATGTTTCGGTCAGTGTAAATTTTCGATATCTTGCTTGCATTTTTTGTACACAGCAAAAGCTTTCAAAAGTTCATCTCAAATTTATTTGATGAGTTTAGCTTGATGCAACGTTGAATAACTCGGATAGAATATAGTCATATCCGTCAGGCTCAATGCGTATCTGAAGTCTTAATGGGACACACATGGTTTTTGAACAAAAGTACACAAAAATAATTTCATTAATGAATTACCAGTACAAATTTTAGTAAACAATAAATTAAATAATTTAGTAAATCACATTTAAATAAATATATATTATAAAGCAATCAAATTTAAATTATGCAAATCCAAAAATATAATTACTATTGAACTTTATAAACCATTTATAAAGAAATCGATTTGATAAACTGAATATAATAATCTTTTGCCCCGAAGGATTGGCAGTTAAGAGTGAACACTCTTACATGAGGCATTATCTGTACAAAACATATACTCGATGTGGAGAAACCGTCCCCGTTTTTTTTCGAATATGTTGAGCCAAGCTATTCAACTTTGCGACTTGTGCTGCAGTATATGGTATATTGCTTATATATCGATGTTTCAGTGATCTCTGGTTGGTTCAAGTTTCCATAGAATTTTGATTTGTAGTCTCATTTTGTAATGGTGCGTTTGAAATAAAAAATAAAGAACAGTAAACTATGATCGTGTGGATTTTAATTCCAATCGTTAACTTCATTAGGTGCTTTAATTTTAATAGATTTTATAAGGAATTCGTTTTGAGAAATAAAACATTCTAAGAACTAACAATAAATATTGGAAATAGTTTAAATTTCGATTAGGTAATATATGTAAATCTTTTTTTCATTTCGCAAACTCCCGTATAATGCGTGTGATATGGGGAATACTCGATGGTATTTAATGCGTTTCATCAACTATCGCTTTTTAAACTGTTATGTGGTAAAAATTGTATATGTATTTAGAATATAAATATTATATACAATGCGTTCCAAAGCTATAAGACAGTTGGACATCATATAATCTATTTAACTAGAATCGAGTCCATTAATAAGATGTATAAAAATATAAAAACCAAAATGAAATCGTAAACCGTATGACTTGATTTTTCCTTTACAGAACTTTTCATGCAACTTGTTGAGACTGACTTACAGTTCTGAAACGCACTGTACAACTGCTCGGGGGATTTGCTCCAATACTTGAGCTTTACATATATATGCCTAGATTTTTGGAGTGCTAATGATAGGATTATTGGACTAACAGTTAGATCAGCTAGGTTGCGCTTTGAGATACAGATACATGTTCGTATAATATAATTTGTGTTCGATTCCCCTTAGGAAACTAAGACTTAACAGGGCTATAAAATCAATCCAGATATTCATATGTATAGGCCAAGAGTTTAGTTTTGGTTAGTGCTACATGAGTTGGAACAATTTGATTTAGTTTTTGTAGGATAGTATGCATTCTAACAAAACATTTCAGAGTCAACGCAAATAATAGAACTAGATCTATGTGAATTCGATGCGGAATTTCAAGCATTTTAAATTTATGTTTATACAATTTGAGTAATACATAGATGCATATAAGGATCTTATCCTTTACTACTTAGCGATTATTATTGAATACAAATTTCTTGTGTTTCATTATTTTATATTAAACGTGAAAAGTGGTACGCTTACATTCAAAGACATTTTCATCGTTTCGCAAAAAACATTTATAAACCGTTCATATGTTTCGTGTTTCAATATCAAGAACTAGGACATGGCAAGCTTTTTTTATGAGATGAGTGTGTTGGCTGACAGACTGTGTGAGTGTGATCTTTCTGCACTTGAATTTGAATTGACTCTTGGAGAAATGTCGTCTAATTGACCCTTTCCGAAGTGTTGCCAGCGGCTGCGTTTGTGAATCTGAGTCTGTTCTTGAACTTGGCTTAGTCCAAGAACGGGTTTTGTCATACGGGCCGCGAATGGTGGGCATGCGTTTGGGGATGATGGTGTGGCTGTGGCTGCGGCTGTGTGACGCTGCTGATGCTGTGGTTACTGCTGCTAATGCTGTGGCTACTGCTGCTGCCCCCCTTTTGCCTTGTGGGTGGCGGTGGCGGCGGCGCTTGTCTCATGCGCTGCTGCAGGATCCTCGGCAGCTGTGGATGCGCCTTGTGCTGGGCTGGTGGTGCGGGCGGCGGCTCCGGTCTTTGATGGTAATGGGAAGCCGTCTGCTGCTGCTGTTGCTGCTGCTGCATTTGTTGATGCTTGCCCATGGAGGAGGCAGCCGAGGATGAGCCCGAGGCGCCCGAAGTGGAGCTGGTCGAGGCATGGGAGGTGGTCGATCCGGTGGCCAGTTTGGTGGGCAGTCCCCCACTGGCTGCCGGCGAGGCCATGGCCCTAGAGCTAGCCAGTCCCGCACCGCCTCCACCAGTCGGATCTGCCATCTTGGGCAAAGTCACTGGCGCATAGGAGCCATCGTCCTCCTCATCGGAGCTCAAGGAATTCGCATCCGATGGCGTGCGAGACCTCGATGGCGGCGACAGGGCATCTTGCTCCTGCAGGAACACTCGAAATCCCTGTATCGACTCGTTGAGCGCCCACAGCTGCGACAGCAACGAAAGATCCAACTGCCTTAAGCCGTACATCTCCCTGCGCAGGATGGCCAGCTGGTTATCGATCGTGGACGAGCTGGCGCCCGTGCTGCTCGAACTGTTGGTGGGCGTATGGCCAGCCCCGGCGCTATGTGTGCTGGAGGCGCGACTGTGCACGGACTCCCGATCGCTGAGCGACTCCTGGGTGGAGGAGAGGCTGCCATGTCGCTGGCTATGTCCGTGTCCGTTGTAGCTGCGATTCCTGGCCGCCGACGAGGAGGTGGAGGGGCCCAGATAGAGTTCGCCTGCGGCTGCGGTCAGAGCGGAAACACTGGACGCTGGCGATCCGGTGCGTGGATGCGGGCCAATGGCCACAGGAGCCGCCGTGGCGGCACTCAGACTTTTTGGCAGTGGCGGCAGACCCGTCAAATGCGGCTGGGCATCACCGCTGCTGCTGTTCTCCATCATTCGATTAGCTTATACTGTGTGTCTACGGTTGATTGACGCTCCTGATCTCTGGGTTTTGGTAACTTAGAACTTAGTGCACGTTGAACTTCCAGCTCTGGCGGCACATGGGGCACTGTTTGTTCAACGGTTGCAGGTTCAGCCACTTGACGATGCAATGCATGTGAAAGCAATGGGAGCAGACACCCCACACCAGGGGGCAGTCGTCACCGGGCAGGGCGCACTCCGGGCAGGTGCTCTCGAAGGACATGCGACAGATACCGCAGTTCTCGTCATTCGCTATCCAACGCCAAGTTGCAACTCCCGTCCATGACTTGATTTTCACTTTCATTTTGTGCACATTTGCTTACACTGCAATTGTCTGGCTTGTCCTCGCTTTGCCTTGCATGGATGTGGGAGGTCCTTGGGCTGATGGAGCGGGTGTTTCTCGTTCGATTCGGGATGTTTTTCGCAAAATATAGCCTTTTTTCTTTGAAAATAGGTCGAGCGTAGTGATGGCCGAAACGGAGACTGCGATATCGATAAATGAGTAGGGACTAGAGATGGCCTGCGTGAGCAATAGTTTTTGTGCGCTAAACGATATTTTAATTTTTATTTGTTTTGACTAAAAATGAACGAATATGTATTTATAAGAACAAAATCAATGTATGTATGATATGGTGTATAAATTCCTGTGTTGTTCCTTGACATAAAAGTTAATTTTAAAAAGATAGGTGCAATATATAAAAAGTTTGTGTTTGCATTTAGTTCTTATATAACAGAAGATATAGCGATAAAACACCTTATTAACTACCTAGTTAAGCCGGTCTTTAGTGATAGGAACCTAAAAGACTTTTTGTTTATAGCTCATTAAACAGGATTATCAGAAAGTTCTTGCTTATTTTAATTCTAAATTGATCTACAAGCTTAATTGCGTTTTAAAGAAAAAAACTTAATTTTATAAACATTGTAAGCAGTTCGTGTTTGCATATAATTATGAAAATTATCGATATTAATTATAAGTATCGCACTTTCAAATGTAATTAGATATTGGCGGCAATACTAATAATTTGATTGTGATACCTCGTTGTGAATTAAAATAACTTAAACTTTTTTTTAAATACCGCTAGAATATAAATTGCTTGAAAACAATATTATTTTACTTTTTGTTGAGGCCTAGATTGGTTCAGGTAACATTTTTTTTACCAATGTCAATATCATGGTCACATCCTTCACGCACAAAAACCATTAATTTCAATTTTCGACGATCTCCCCAATGACAGTTCGGCAGGTCAGATCTTTAATCAGCGATACGACACCGAACGTCTCGTGTCTGAACCAACTTCCGAAAGCTTATGCTCATGCTCCAACGGATTTTGAGGGGCGGGGGGTGCTCTTGTTGCCTTGTTGGGGCGCTTTTGTTGGTGGGGCTGGTGGAGTTGTTGTCGTCCCCGGTTTATTCGCATTCAGACAGCCGACGATTGTTGAACCCGATAGACGTGCGCGCACATTTGTTGGCTCGATCGGCGAGCTTTATTCGTTCTCTTGCTTGTTTTATGTCGATTTCGCGTTCAAAGCGTGTGATCCACGCCAAAATTTGTGTTGTGTTTTAATTGTGTGACGCAGTTTTTAGCATCGGTTCTTGGGGAACACCGCTTAGTGTCAGCATAAAAATATATACATATGTATGTATGTACATACATACATGTAAAAAGAAAGTGCCTCCAAAAAGGAGTTGATTGAAAGTTGTATAATAACCCTGAAGGAGCTGCTGGAAAAGCCCAAAAATAAAACCCCCTGTGAAGTGAACGTCGTCTTGTGAGAGTGGTAAAAACAAAAAATTTAAAAAACAAAAAAGTAAAGTACATACAACAAAACAGCGTTGTGTTTAAGAACCTGTAATTGAAAACGCACTTGAATACACCCATACAGGCAAGAATAAATAAAAATAAGCCCAATACAACACGTTGTTGACCCTGAGGCAGAGCCTCGTGATTTTCCAAGAACGAGTAAAGCCCCTCCCCTCCTCTCCTCCCAAAACAATTATTTAGCATAAGAATTTATGTTGCAGTTTATTGCACTTTTGCTGGGCCCCCCCCCCCCTCTCTTTCCCACCCCCATCAGCCATCTCCTTTTACCCCATCGGCCATCTCTTTCTGTGGAAAAAAACCGTTTGACGCCTTGCAAGGAGATTCTGCCTACCTTTCTTGGTGTTCCGGTTTTTTGATCGGGATTTTCTCGAATTCTGCGAAACATTAACAATCCCATAAGGCATCTAAAAAAAAGCGGACGTGTGCCTGTGTGTTTTGATTACAAATGCATGCGAAATTTCATTTCAATATTTGCGATTTATTTCACTTTGATTTGTCTTGCCTTGTCATGTGTCTCATCTATAAAATGTTGCTAATAAACAAACAATTATGAAATTCCGGGTTTTTCAAACGTGGACAATTTAACACTTCTTCGCCTTCGATACAAAGGCAAATAAACAATCGGTTAAAACTTTGAAGATGTACAGGCTGTGTTGTGAGTCACCGAATTACAATTCTTGGTATTCGTATTGAATTGCATTGCTCTCAAGTCATCTTTTCCTAGAAATCATTAACTAATAAGGGGTTAAAATAAAGGTTAAGTTATATACAAGATAATCATCATAGGAGTCTTAAAGGTTAAATATTTTAGTATTATTTACTTATAATTAGATAGTGATCAAGCCTAGATAGTATCAATTTGGAGAGGGTTCATTATTAATGTCAATCCTTAAATCATCAACAGTTCTTATTAGCGAAATAGAGTGGAACTACAATATTTAAGAAAAAAATGTATAATTCAATATACATTTTTTTAATGAATGCACTATGATTATTCAAAAATAAATAATTTAACTACATGTAATATTGCTGCCAACATTATGGAATATTTGCATTACAAGGAACCGTGATATAAAAGTTCAGCGACTTCCTAATATAGTCAACACAATAATTTTTGGTTATCATGCCTTTCGACACATTTTGATTGATTATTTTGATCCCAGCGATTACTTTTTCGTCGTTAACATTCCCAAACTCTTTCTTTCGTCATATCTTATCTGTTATCGTATACAGCCGAAAAAGTACCCAATACCATCATGGTAAAGCCATAAGCTCCAAAATCAAAGTTTGTCAAACGACTTTCAAAATCGAGCACTGCATTAGCTTTGCAAACGGGACGGAGTGGAAAACTGTCTGGGACTTGCATTATTGTCAAGTCAGGCGATCTACCTTCTAGTACGTATCTTTAGTGCTCGAGCTGTATAGTCATGAACAATCAAGTGATTACTGATAAAAATTGAAGCAAATGGGCTGACAAACAAAATACTTGGCGAGCAGATTTAGACGAGATAAGTGTGTATATACTTGTAATATATACACAAAATGTATTTTAAGGAAGCATCTTGGTCGGCGGGACGTGCTCTGAGTGAATGATTCAAGTAAAAATTACTTATGAGACACTTGTGACTCACTCACCTGAGAACACAAACAGTGATTTATAATCACGGAACTGAAAAGATCACAATGAAATAATGCAAGCGATTAATGTGAACTGAGGATCGCCTACATAAATTGCATTCATTCATAAAAACAAAAAACATAAAAACGTACTAGGCGTGTTTACAAAGGGAATGTAATGTCATGAGAAGCTTTAATTCTAGAAAACAGTTCCGTTTACGCTGAAATCCCTTTTAGTTTCAAGGTTTTTTCCCTAGTCAATTACTGGGTAAACAATTTAGGGAACTTTTGCTGTTAATCGGAGCCATTATCTCTGTGAAACATACTAAATGCCATTGGGCTGAAAGCTCCCATCAAGTAGTTAATTGATTACGGTAAACGTTGTGGAGCAACAAGGTGATACGACGATCTCAATGAGAACTGTTTAGTAATATCTGATATGTTACAAGCATTTCAAAATCCCATTCATTAACAAAAATGTAAGAACAATACGTTTTTAAATTATAATTTTACATACATTTTTACCAACGTTTCCGATAAGTTTTTTTTTTATTTTGTTACCAATTTATTTAAAAAGTATTAATTTCTTCGGGAAATGTTTTTTTATTGAGCAGCTGCTTATTGGTTTTTTTCTTTATCTTATTCCGGTTTACTTAATGAAATATATACTTTTTTTTTTTTAAATAAAGAAATTTATTAACAATCATAAACACTTATTTCTGGTAAACATATTTATAATAAGAAATGGACATTTAGCAATCTTTTGAAAACCTAATTCTCTTAGTCATATCAGCTCTTCTTCCTTTTAAATTTAAAAGTGGCTTGATGGAGATTTCATTTATATAAATATTCGCTTTGCTGTACTTATCTTGAATTCAAATAAATGTTAACAAAACGGTTAGTTACGCAGAAAGTCAAGCTGACAGACACGAATCGAAAATATTTGTGAGCGCCATTACGCTTGAGATACTAATTTATAAGATCAACACAGAACACTGCGCGTGCTCTAAAAACTGAAAAATAAAGAAAAACATTGCAGAATAAATCTGCAGTTGCGAAAAAGATTTAAGTTGAGGGGAGTTAGCTGCCAAGAGAAACTCGATCGGAATACAAGTCAAGTCGCTGATGTCTGATGCCTGTCAAAGCCTAAAAACTGAAACGAGGCCAATGCACGCCACTTGTCGTCTGGTGTTTTTAGTTTACCATGAACCGTGCGAGGCATTTTATATGCGATACATTCAAGCTGCAAGCCTGGCTGCGGTTAATGACACCTGCTTTCGATCTTTCTGGGCAGTTCAGTTTTGGAGGCAAATTCCGAGTGGCCCAAGGGGGTGTGAATGATTTCATTTGACGGGTTATTGTAATTTACACTTTACATTTAATCCAAAAGTCAACATTAAACAACCATCTGTTGGTTTTGTTGGGAACGGGAAATACGTTTCCAACCTGAGGGAATCGAACCTAAATGTCGCAAATCAAATTAGGATATAAATACACAAAGTGATAATAAAACGTTAATTTTTGGAAAGTCATTTTTACTCGTGTCGTGTTGGAACAGTTTTTGGGCTCGCATGAAAAGAAAATATGAAAATCTGTAAGAGGTTGGAAAACTATTAGAAATAAGTCAATATTTAACTTTGATTTCATAGCGAATAATTGTATTTTATTAGCAAATTCAAAACATGTACATTTAATTGGTTTTTACTGTGTTTAATAAGATATATTATAGATAGGTAATTGTAAAGATAATACTTAAATGATATTTCTCTAACTTTGCGCAGCTTTCTTTATTTATTTTACTTACATACAGTTTTAGCTTCGTCAATATCTCAAACAATGCCAAGGCAATTAACTGAAGTGGGAATTTAATTTGAATTTCTACTTAGCAAGCTAACGATAAAAATGGAATAATGAATAATATAGTAGATCAAATTGATATAATACACGTTTCTCCCTTGCAATGAAAAAAACCTAAGTTATATTAACGCTTTTGAACTTTTCGGTGATTTTCCAGTGAGAGATTCTAGATAATGTTCATTTCGTCGTTTATTATATTGTACACATATGTACATATACAAACATATATATTTTATTGCCACCAAACTCGTTTTGTTGTCGTAAAATATTTTATATGGTTGAAATGAGGGGCTGAATGTTGTAAAGGGATGCTTGACAGGTATATATAAAGATAATTGAGCAAAACCCATAAGATACTATTGTAAGTGCACGGTAGATACAACTCATGAATTAAACTGTTTAATTAAAACCATCTTACTAAAAATTTCTTAAAGCTAAATCCAATGTCAATGCCTAAAACCAATATTCTTATAACTTTAAGTTAACAATAACATAAGCTTACTTGGGCAATGAATTTGATTTGGGTTAAAAAGTAATACATATAAATTTCAGTATCGTTTTATTTAATTTTTTTTTCACCGCATTGCATGCATCGCTTGAGTGACTTGTGAAATTATATATTGTAATCCGAATGTTATTGTTCACGTTTTTGGCGCCGTATTTATTTTCTACTTTGTGCGGAAGTTATTCGCCCGCAAATTTTTACCTGTGGCATGCGATTTTGTTTGTCAAATCAGCGACCCAAACCGACTGCGGTCCAGTTCAAAGGTCAAAATATAAAACCAAAAAATAATAGCGTTCTCGCTCGAACCACAAAATGCTGAATGAGTTGGCACGTTTTTTGAACGAGATGATAATCGCAAACTTTTCACAGCCCATTAAAAGGTAGAGACAGCAACTCAAAATTACTTTTGTTAACAGCTTTTTAATTATATAGTCTAATTAATGGTGCAGGAAAAGGTAGCTATATGGTTAAGGGGAGCTGACTAAGCTGGGCAATATTTTATCTACAAATAATGGCTGATTTTTCAGTTTGCTACTGCAAAAGTCGTTTGACTTGATTCAAGGCAATTATAATTTATGTCAAGTTAATTTTTAATTACAATAACTTATGCAAAACTTAATTACGCATAGAAGAATATAAATATCTATGAAAATACCTTTTTGAATGCAAAGAATTATCTGAAAAAAAATAATTTTTTAAGATTCGATATTCATGTAAAAATATTATATTTATAATTGCAAACAAAAAAAAAACATGTTGAGTTACAATTATATTTATCTATTTTACGGTTTCACGCAATAATCCTGATACAATTAATAATATATATTTCCAAGTTTAGAAAAGCGGTAACCGTTTTGGTTTGTCCATTCCCATTAGTTTTCACCCCATGCTCTATTTCTGTTGCATAACACGATTCGAGTTGAAATGAGCTTCACGCACAAAACGTGTAAACATCAACAAATTGCATTACATGGCTTAAAGTAACAGTAACAACGGAAAGGTAGCGGCAAATGACTGCTATTTATTTCAACTGATTGACATTCAATTACTGATATCCCTATCCCCCGCCCCTTTTCCGCGTCATCTTACGTACATTACTGAGTGTTGTGCGCTTTTCAATTCAACTCTCGCCGAAAGCTTTGAATGCTATCAATATATCTACGGCTTTATCAAAAGACAATTAATTGATCGATTGACGGAGCTCACATGATTCGCAATGGTCTTTGAACTCAGGAGAAGCATGTCAAATGATCTCATTTAGTTTTTTTCGGAAACAAAATTTACTTTACAACGGTCTAATATTTGCTCTTGACAACTCTTGCGTAGGGTCTTCACACCTTCAAATCAAATGAAAATAACGGGGGAATTCACTAATCTGCACTCTGAGATTAGGTTCTAGGAATGAACTTGGTAGATAAACCAAAAATTGGTCTGAGAAACAAGAAATTCGTGAGGCAAGGCTATTGAAACATATTTAGCAGTCAAAATTGGGTTAACATGCATTTGTTTAGCCAAAGTCATAATATATGTATGTACAAATGCTAGTATCGGGGTGACACAGAAATTTCTGTACAACATATTATATATACATTCCAACCGAAATTCAACTGAAGAGATATCAGTTACGATCCCAATAAGTAAACACATTGCTCTACGAGCCCGACAAGAAATAAGCATTATTTATAGTTCTAAAGTATTTTAACAATAACCTTTTAAACTATGTTCAAATACAAAAATTCAAAATTAACTTAGTATTAAAAAATAACATTTTTTTTTACCTAAACAATTATAATTTTTTGCCTTGTTTCAGTTTATCGACGTTTTTTTTGCAGAGCTGTCACTATCAGCTCATTCGAAATCAATTAGCAATTTTTTGATAAGACTTTACACAATTGAATCAGCAATCTGTTGATAAGACTTTACAAAACGGAATTAGCAAACCGCTGATAAGACTTTACAGAACTAAAAAAAATAGATTACAAATATGTCATAGATAGCGTCAAACAAAAGAAACATTCTTGGTATGTGTTTTTAATCTGTTTTTATAAGCTCTAAAGAACATTTCTTGACAGCCTAAAAGTATGCTTAGTTGGTGTAACCTTGGATAGATCCACACCACCCCCTGGACGCCCACTCACCTGTGGAGAGAATGTGGCCTCAATTTGCAGAAGCGCTTATCGTTCAAAGCGTTAAGTAAACTCAGGCAGGCAAACACGAGTACATGTGTAGCGAGGTTATCGCCGTGTGTGCACGGTGCAAGTTTAAAAAGTTTCAATTACTCCACAAACGCTCACACTCACACGACTGACACACTCACACAGGTGCGGTGCAAGGCTTGAGCAGGTGTCACAATACAGCAACAGGTTACAGTGGATCAAAAGTGGACTAAACAGAAAAAATTACACAAAATCTGTGTCGTTTTTAGCAAATTATTTAATAACACAAATTTCCCACATTTTTTTCATCCATTTGTTTTTCTAGGCAGGAAAATGTTTTTCGTTTTTTACTTTACATACTTTCAAAAACCAGAATATACAAATTTGCACCAAACCATGTAAATGTCTTTTAAAACACAGCTTGTATTAATGTTGTTTTTAACCAAAGTAATGGTAAGACAAATCATTTATATCTAAAAATTCTAATTTTCGAAGTAACAGTTTAACAATAAGATAGTTTGTAATAACGGAGGCTTTAATTAAACCCTTGCAATTATAAATGTTTAATCAATTGTAAGATCTCTTTCTTCTAAAGGTTTGTCTTAAAGCGATGAGCTTGTAACCATAGTCTTTTTTAAGCTAAAAAATTATAATTTTAAAAACTTATAAAAATTAAATTAACACAAAAATTACGTAAACTGCGCGTTAATTAATGCGAAAGGAATTTAAAGAAAGCTGAATAGAATGAGATAACGGATGGTCATAAATTATTGAAAATTCGTGCAATTTTAATCTGATAATGCTGGGAACGCTTTTTGCCACCTGACCCACAGTGCGCAAAAGAAAGGGAGGGAAAGAGATTGCTGGGTGAAGTTTCATCGGGAGAGAGACGGAGAGGTAGTTAAAAATTGTCGCAAAATTGTTGCTCTCTGGTAGTAATCTATCAGACGCGATCGATCAATTCAATGGCTCTCCCAACCAGCCCACCACCCCCTCTCTCAGGCACACTCCCAGAGAGATAAGGTAATAAAGTAGATGAGAGAACGGTAGCTCTCGAATCAACTCACTTTTATCACACACACATACACTTGGAAAAATATCTATATTTATTGTCTTAAAAACAAAAACTAAATAATACGTAAAACAAGAAAAAATACAAAAATTAATCCCTTGGTGACCTTGGAAAGGAAGCTTTCTTTCAAAAACAGGAAGCCAAATTTGTTTGGACATGCCATATAAATTAAACTGATTTTAACATTTAATCCGAAAAACGATCATTAATTATTTTGAACCTTAAAGTTAAGGACATCATTTTAAAAAACTCAAGTAGTATTAGGATAGGGTTTCTTAATTCATTCGTGGTTAAAGCGCTTAGACGTGGAAAAAGTCGACCGAAAGGTAGTCGAAAAGTTTTTCTCAAAGTGTAGAAACGAGAGAAGGGGGGCCAGAGAGCCGCTTGGGAGCGAGAGCCAGAGCCACCAGAGCGCGAGATACGAATTGTGGGGCACTTCAATTTCATTTGCCGAAAAAACGTTGAGCTGTCTCCACACGCGCTCACCGCTCGGCACTGAACAAGATTTCTGGAACGACGAGTCACACGCACGTCGCTCCCACCAAACAACAACAAAAATCGAGTCGCACAAATCCGAATTTAATTTATTTTTCCTAACAGAAATCATAAATTAATCAAAACCAAAGCATTGTTACAACACAAACGATTTTCGACTCGGATTCTCTTCTTTTTTTGGCGGAGAGGGAAAAAGTCAAGAAAAAGTAAGAGGAAGAGGAAGCCAACAACAAAATGTGCCGCTGCTGTCAAAAGTGAGTAAACGCTATATTTTCCCCTCTCGCTTAACAAAAGTTGGCTGGTTCGGGCCAGCAAATTACTTGGCTAACATTCCGAATTGCGTTTTTTTACCATTTCCATTTTCATTTCCCCCTTACCCCCGCCCCGCCCCGTGGACCGTTAGCTGTTGGGAAGATTTCTACTGGAATTGCTTCGAGGAGCGTTTTTGCTACGATGAATCGATCGGTAAGTTTTTCGAAGCACAAGAGATTCGCTGCTGCCTTAAATTGGGCAGTTGACGGTTACGATTACCTGAAGTTGAGTACTTCAAATATACTCACTCGCATACTCTCACACAAACACACGCACACACTCAACTAGCCCAAAGTAGATCTTGAAACGCACAATGCGACGATGATTTTTGCGCGATTTAACGTGTTTGGCATTTGAAATCGAGTACGAGTACAAAAAAGAAATAAAAAACCAAACACAAAAAGATACATAAATCAGTTTTATGGAATTTATAAAAATATTTTTCAGGTAGTGGATAAAGGGGAGCTTATAAGGTTGGGCTTCGAGAGTATTTTGTTTACATTAATATTTTTTCTGACCGCTTACGACCTTTAACTGAAAAAAATAAAGACATTTTTACAAAGATACCTTTATACATTTTGTTCATAATTGCTGTTTTTATATTTTAATTTTAAATGAAACATGTAACTATCTAACTTTTGTAAACTTCATAAGAATAGCAACCTTATAAAAAAGATTTTGTTTATAATAGTTTATTGAATTTCACAATTTAAGAAATTAAAAGTTTGGTAAAAATAATGTTCGACAGCAATTGTATGACCAAAAAGACTTTCAAAAATTAATGTCGATCACAAAAGTAAGAGGAAAGCTAAGTAACTTGTTAAGCAATACCCAGAAAATTCAAAAGTAACAGCTAAATCTAAAGCGATAGCAATGAATTTTTTAGCTGACATCACAAGAGTAAATACAGTATATTTGTGAGAGAAATATTTTGCGGTAGTGCAAACAAAAATATTGTTTTCTGCTTATTTTTTCAAAAATTTCATGATTGTTTTACTTTTTCTCTTTTCTAGCCAATTACAATCCCGAGGAGGACGAGGACTATTTGGCATCCCGAAAAAATGGCCAGATTATCGGACGCATTCAGCCGTCATCGGCGGATAATAATAATTCGCTCACGGTGCCCCAGCCGATTTGCGATCAGCCGCAAATGAGGCAGGGCAACTCGAGCTTGGGCCTGAGCCTAATGAGGTACTAATAGATAGATCAAACCCGCCGAGCCAAAGATCGCGTTTCGCATTTGGTTTGGATGGCTAGCGATTAGCGATTAATTGGCAAGATCGTGTTGGCTTATTGTTGGCAATATCAATTTACGTATAATACATATCTATCTTCCTTTGTGGACCTTTTAGCGCCAAGATCCACGAGGAGGACTATCGTCGGGAGACTCAGATCAATGTGCCCAATTTGGGACCGGAAATTTTGGCGGTGTTTGCCAACTCGCAGATCTTCCAGGACCATCAGCCCACCAAGCTGAACCGGATTAGCACAAAGACCTATCTGGCCGGGATCCACACGCCGAATCGTGAGATGCCAACCACACCGCGTCTCAGTGATCAGGAGCGATTGCTGCGGCGTTTGGAAGGTAATGATGGCCCCAGTGGTGCACACACCCCACTTTTGGGTGGTGCGGGTAATGGTAAAAGCAGCGGAAAGAGCACCCGCAGCAGCAGCATCGTGTCCAGCGGTGTGCCAAAGGTCAAGTTCTATCTAAACTGAGAACTGAGCTTCGATCTGGGCTTTTGGGTTCAATGGGTACTAGCAGTATTTGTGCCAAAGATTGAGGAACTTTCGCAACGCACATAAGAAACGAAAAGAGAGTGACCAATATCGCCAAATTGTGACTTAATATTATTAACTAATTAGCTCTAAGTGTTGTCGATATCACCCAGACACAACGATATGTGTTAAATATTCGAAAAAGACAGCAATGCCAAGTTCGCTGGCATTTAGTATTATCTAGACCCCTAAGTAGCCTATCTTAAGTTAACTTAAACGTATTCTATTTAAGTCTTAATTGTTGGACCTTGTAATTGTTTAGTTCTATGTAAGAACTAGTAAACAGTATGAATTTTCATAAAGTCTTTTAAAAACAATTCGCCTGGGTTTCACTTAAGTTGTAGCTGTTTTGTTTGGACTTTAGTTTTACTTGTTGATGTTATGTTACATGATTTTTAAGCTGAATACAGACCCTGTGTATTAATATTCCCACGACCGAATCTACTGATAAACTTAGGTTTATTAATATTTACGAGAAAAAGCCCTCAGACAGATTTTCCTTATTTATGACTTTCGTCAATCCATAAAATGCCATAAATGCTCATAAAATCGACACGCCATTGACTCATTTTGAACAGCGTTTTAGCCAAGTAATTTGTGCACTTTGAACAATTGATTTGTTTGCAAAGTTGGCATTACTCAACAGCTTTGACGTATTGACTAAGGCTGAGATCAGTTAGTCAACGATAGCCACATTTAAACGCTTTTAGAACGTTTTCGTCAAAGACAATTAATGTCTTTATTATATAGACGATAGCACTGATTGAAATTCTTCGAAAGTAGTTTAACATGAGAATAGCAATTATCTTCGGAGGCAATCAAACGTCTAATAGACTTAAAGAGAGATTTGATAAATATTTTACAAAAAGTTTGCTTAAGCCATGATGGAGAAATTATATGCAATATTGCACAAACATGCTTCAATAATTGTTTCAATTCTAAACTAATTTAATAATGGAAATATGATACATTTTTGAGAAAAAGCCGAATAGCTGACAACACAATTAATATGACGCTTAGAACGAGTTTCAAGATTATTATTTGATCAAACCATTATGATAATTTTGCAATGAAATTTTTCCGCAAGCTTGACTCATCCACTAACCCCTTTTGATTAAAAAAAATGTTCATTCATTCGAACCTCCAACGAGGAAGAGCGGAAAAAAGAAGAAATCTGGATCTGAAGTAAAATTTAATTAACAATATTATTTCGCACTGACGCAGCAATCCGCCAGCGGTACCGGTTCCATCTGAAGTTAAAAAAAACACTTTGGGGTGTACGTCATAATATCGGTTATCGCATCTGGAAAAAGATAATACCAAACCCAATTGGAGATGATTTAATGGGCTATTGGGCTTGGCACTGATTTATCATAATTGGTTAATCACTGTGCCACGTTAACTCCTCATGGCCCATTTCATCGCCAGAACCAAAGGAACCAAACCCAATTAGTCAAATTTCGATTTCCTTATCGAGACCGTATAAAAATGTTAACAGCAAATAAACACCCATCAAATATGAATATATTTTGTGACTTCCAATTGTCCAAAATACATGTATATGTACATTTTATAGATAAGAGGCAAGACCTGATAATCAGTTTTCGCATGCTAACGATCAATTCCTCAGTTTTCCTGAGCTGATAAAACAACAACTGCAAAGAAACCGTCAAAGAACACTGGGACCTGACTTTAATTCTATATAATTTATTTATTATCTTAGTAGTAACTAAAGGAGAAACAGTTCTTAAAAAAAATTGTATTGTCTTTTTATGCATTTTAGTATAAACATAAATACTAGTTCTTCCTATTAAATTATTATTTAAATTATTACGAATACCCAGCAGAAATATTCAAAGTGATTAGGTTCAATGCATTGAAGATATTTGTGTAGATTATAATGCCAGGTGTTGATTCGTATCATTTCCAACAAATCGAGTATAAATGGTTGTTTGTTTGGATTATCTTAAGTTTCATTTAAAAATATAACAAAACATAAAGCAATAATTCAAAACTGAACAATAAACAATTAAAACCCCAGATTTCATGGAATTGTCGTCAGACATTCGTATGTTTTTGTTTCCTTGTACTATTTTTATACCCTTGCAGAGGGTATTATAATTTCAGTCAGAAGTTTGCAACGCAGTGAAGGAGACATCTCCGACCCTATAAAGTATATATATTCTTGATCAGCATCACTAGTAGAGTCGATCTAGCCATGTCCGTCTGTCCGTCTGTCCGTCCGTCTGTCCGTCTGTCAGTCTGTCCGTCTGTCCGTCTGTCCGTCCGTTTATATGCAAACTAGTCTCTCAGTTTTAAAGCTATCTGCATGAAACTTTCCCAAAAGTTGTCTTTCTATTGCAGGTAGTATATAAGTCGGAACGAGCCGGATCGGACGACTATAGCATATAGCTCCCATAGGAACAATCGGAAAAATAAATGAAAAAAAATTATAACTTTGCTGTTTTTTAATTTTTTGTTTAGTTCTTCGACGTTTAGTAATGGTTAAATATTTCCGATTTACGGTTTAAATTTCATCAAAATCGGACGACTATAGCATATAGCTCCCATAGGAACAATCGGAAAAATAAATGAAAAAAAATAGAACTTTTCTGTTTTTTAATTTTTTGTTTAGTCCTTCGACATTTAGTAATGGTTAAATATTTCCGATTTACGGTTTAAATTTCATCAAAATCGGACGACTATAGCATATAGCTCCCATAGGAACAATCGGAAAAATAAATGAAAAAAATTATAACTTTTCTGTTTTTTAATTTTTTGTTCAGTTCTTCGACATATAGCAATGGTTAAATATTTCAGAATTATGGTTTAGATTTTATCAAAATCGGACGTCTATATCATATAGCTCCCATTGAAATAATAAAAATATATAAAATAACTATCAAATAATTGGGTTGCTAATCATCATAGCTTCAATGTTTTTAAACATATACGCAGTAAATCATAATTTTAATGTTTTCAAAAATGTTAAATTCTTGCAATAGCTGCAAGGGTATATGAACTTCGGCTTGCCGAAGTTTGCTTTCTTTCTTGTTATTCATACTTGTAAATTATATGGTTATACGTGTGTATGATAACTTAACGTCACGTTTTGTTGCTGATGTCGAATGACTTTTCCGATTCGTCAGTTGAGAACTCCTGTACTAAGAGCAACATGTATAACCATTTGGTTACTGGGTATTTCCCCACCTCCGTCATATAATTTCATCAGTATATAATAAACCTGACGTTCGTTGTCGGGGGCTTGACGATATAAAATCACCTTCTATAATACGTGCTCGCCAGCTTGCAGGGATACAGTAGGTTTATATGGATATATCTTTTGGCGACAATTGGTTTGCTTACATGGGATGGTAAACGAAAAGGACAATTTTTAAACTATTATACTAGGTTTAAAAATTGGGTTTATTCAACCGTTTTTAAATAGTAATAAAATCTTAAGAATAATTTAAAAAAATAATATAAATTATCTCTGCAGTTAATTAAGGTTGCTTTAAGTTAAAAGATAAAATTATTAAGATAAAAACTAAAAAAAAGTTTATGAACCGAGACCGCAAAGTATATATTTCTTCAGTGTTTATTTTTAAAGAGCATTGTTCGTATGCATATAGGATATACAATAATATTTTCTTTGTAAATATTGACTGCATCAGAAAGATTACTATATTTTCTTTACTGATAAGGAAAACGTGCGGTCTAAATCGTTTGATGCTTCAATGTACATATCTTGCTGACTAAGTGGATTGACTAATAAATACCAATCTATTGTGAAATACACTGCAAAATCAGGGATACAACACGGGAGATTTCTGTGGAATAATTTCCTAGACATTGTATAAGCAAAGTAACAATAAGATAATTAAAACCCCTTAAATGGAAAATCATGTCTAGAGCTTTTCGCTCTGCGAAAGCAGTGGATACTGGCTCCAAAGACTCCGTTTCAGCTTTAGTTGAGGGCAACTTATTATCTGCCCATATCTAACCTATCTGTCATGAACTCAACCCTTATCATGTTTGTTAACCTTTAATGCGACTTACTTGTCATCTGCTTTTCCAATTTTTTTTAATGAAAATGTATATACTAAAGCTTTAAAAAGTTTTTTAAATTTTCTTCGAACAGTGCACAGTAATTAAGTATTTATTTTTTTGGCTTGTTAAATAAAATCAAAAATATTTTAAAGAGAAATGGTAGCTTAGGTAGTTGTCTTTATTACTAAAACAATACGAAAGCTACCCTTTCAAGTCAGAATTTAAACAAATAATAGTCGTTTTTTTTTTTTTTAAAGTAGAACAAAATAATGGGGAATAAGGAAAATTATAAGTGCTGAACACTCTTATTAAGACTAAATTTTCCTTTCTTACAGGCGATGCACCGGATTCGAAATCTGGATCCCCAGAGAAACGGATCACGTTCACCCTGGCGCCGAGTTCCGCCGAATGTTCGCCCACCGGCAGCCAGACGACACTCAGTCCCAAGAAGTTCGAGGCCATTGCCGAGGAGGAGAAGGAAGACGAGAAGGCCGACGACGACGAGCGGGAGGAGGAGGAGGTTGTGGAGGAGGTGGTGTTGCGACCTCGCCTCATCGACCGTCATCCCCACCTGTTGGCCAATCCCAGTGGGCTGACCACCACGCCCAAACGGATACTGCGATCCGCCAAAAGCGTTCCGCACATGAATGTACGATCGTCGGCCAGCGAAACGGATATATTCTCCATTAGCGGTACGATGACCGGCAGCAGTCAGATCAGCATGACACCCGAGGTGCCCTCGATATCGTTTAGCAATCTGCCCAAGAATTACGAGGACACGCCCACCATCGAGAAGTACAGGGTGTCGCAGAGTCTCTACTCCATTCAGACGGCAAATGCAGCACGGGCCACCCAAGATGATTACTCCATGCCTCGCTATTTCCGCCGCTCTGCCATGCTATTGACCCAGAGTTCGGAGGTTCTGCCTGGTGCCAGCTCCTTGGCCTCCATGTCACCCTCGATGGCCTCTTCGTCTGCCTCGCCAGGATCTTCGAAGGACGAACTACGACGACCCGAGAAAGAGAAGAGCAAGCGACTCCAGATGCTGCGCGGAAATCTACCGCCCCTGCTCATACATTCCGTGTCCTTCAAACGCAATCGCGACGAGGGCAAGCAGGTGGGCTAGTTTGGTGCTCCCCAGAATATCATTTTTGTTAGCCACTTTGTCCATGTTTTAACTGTTTAAAATGACTTAGCCTGTAGTAACTGCTTAAGCGTTTTCTGTATTACCTTCTAAGCGAAGACCTTGTCCAACCCACTCACTCAGTATTCGGATGTACTTCATTTTGCGTTTATGATTGATATTACAAAATAAATTGTATTTTACCCCAAAATTTGTATTTGGAATTTGGAATTTTATTTAATAATAATTTTAAATATTAAGTTGATAATAAAGTTTGTCATATAAAACGCTATAAAATTAAAGTAATCTTGCTGCACTAAATTATAAAGTTTGGCTTATAGTGTTTTATATAAGAAGGCGTTAGCAAAAATAAAGCAAGTAAATGATTTCAAGTAAAACTAGAAAGATTATGAATAATTACATCTAAAATATAATTAAGAAAAAAGGCTCATGAAGTTTTCAAGCGTCTTTTACAAAGTCAATCCATACAATACTTTACTATATAAAATTTATCTTTAATAGATATTAACTTTAATATTCCTTATAACCATTTTTAAAAACAAAAAAAGAAAAAAAATCAACATCTCTCCCCGACGGGGAATTGAACCCCGGTCTCCCGCGTGACAGGCGGGGATACTAACCACTATACTATCGAGGATGTTGTATCAAGTGCGTCAAACTCGCTATTTCAGCCCGAACTCGGAATGTTTGTTTCAATGCCGTTCGTTCCGAACTTGTGTAATGAAAAAGGTCTTTTGACGATCAGCAAACAACATCCTCGATAGTATAGTGGTTAGTATCCCCGCCTGTCACGCGGGAGACCGGGGTTCAATTCCCCGTCGGGGAGAGATGTTGATCTTTTTTCTTTTTTATTTGTAAATGTTGATTTTGTTTTTCATTTTTATTTGTGAACATTTTTAACAAAGAATAATTAAACAAATAAATTTTTTATAAATTGAAGACAAAAACTATATAATAATGTTTTAAGCCAATACTGGATATAATATTTAGATACAAAAATCTCAAAACGTAAGCAAATACCTTGACACCCGGGAGAAATTAAAAATAACATAGTTTTTGGTGGAATATATTGATTGTTTATGAAACTTTCAAGCTGTTTCTGAGCAAGAAACTTGTCAAAGTGCAACAGAACTGTAAAACACATGCTGAAATAATGTAAAATACAATAACTATTATTTCGACAGACCTGTTATTGCATGTTACTAATTCCGCAATTTCATTTAGTTTTAAAAAAAGTTTGAAATTTGGCGGGCTGTAAAGTAGGGACGGATTTTTTAGTCCGAATTTCGAGAGCATTTGGTGAGAATGCGGTCTTAGTATCTGGTAACACTAGCTTGCATTCGTATTCGTGAGTGTTTGTATTTGGATTTGTGTGGTTCGTATTTTAACTTACGCATTTTAGAGAAATCAGCAAAATATTATGATAAACATCTCAATCATTACAAAAACCGTGCATTGAATAAACAATAACTGCAAGCTTGTGAAAGTGAATGAATGCAATTGTAAATTATAAATAAAGCAATACATATAAACCGCCGGCAAAAACAGAGAGCGGATTTTTAAGAGAGAAACACAGAGCGGATGAAGTAGAGTTGCCAGGTTTTCGATGGGCACTACATTCAAAACTGGTACAATTTGAATGTTATTTCGCGATCAAATAAAGTTTTAAAGGCAAAAGATGCCAAAATCGTTAATAGGTGGTGAACTGAAATGTTTTTTTTTTGTGGATAAACAAATTTTCTCTGTGCTAATTTTCGTGTTTATTTATTTGTTTATGTTTTGGAAGCACGTGCTAAGAGTTCGTTGCCATACAAATATTCGGTCACAAACGCCCTTGACACGCGCAGTCTTACCCGCGCCCACTGAGAGAGGAACGGTGGAAGTGACTTTCCAGTTACTGTTATTTGATTGGGTTTTAAATTAGAATAACTTTTTAAATTTAGCAGAACGCTCCCAAGAATTAAATACACTAACGGCTAGATTTTTAAAAAGTTCGGAGGCCTAACATTAAAAAAAGTGATTTGGCTAAAAGGGAATAATAGTGTGTAGAGCGAAAGAGAGTGTTAATGAGTGGAATAGCGAGCAAAATGTTGACTCTCTTTTAAGTCGAAAGAATCTCTTTTACAATTGCTAATCCAAAGAATATGATAGTTTCAAAAACTAAAACCTATTTTTTCTAGAACCATTTTTGTTATATATCTGATTAAATAATAATGTATTTTTTTTTAAATAACCGGTTAATTACCGTAAAATCTTATCTTTAATCAACAAATACACAAAATTGACGTAAAGAATATGGTGTGAGGTTGTTCATCTTGAAAATGTACATCATATTTACACGATTCCAGATTTAAACAATTAACAAGTATTTCAAAAAATATTTATTTTATTTACAAAACGGTTAACAGTTCTAAAATATAACATTAGTACGAATTCACTTAACAGGCTAAGAGAGCTTTTTTAGTGGGTGGGAGAGCGCAGAGAGAGAGGGAGAAATCCAGCAATAAACTGACTAACGCCATCGAAATGCACTAGCAACACGGTTTCCTAACAAAACGAATTGCGAGAGAATGAGAGTTCTTACAGACAGAGAGACTCAACTCACGCGGCTCGACGTGGATGTTCGATTCGAACACATTTGGCTGGGAAAGTGCCAGGAAAAGTCCCATCCGACTATATTCCACTTTCATTCGAAAATTTAACGCCCGCGCTGCAGGCGCGTTGCTCCGGTTGAGAAATATCACAATAAAAAAAATATCACTAAAAACAACGATATTGGATAAATCACCGGGAAATATATCGAAAAACGATATTTGGTTTCTTGTAAAAATATTGTTTTCTAAGATATTTTCATGCATTTTTCGGGATCCGGCAAAAAAGATACACCTCTATCTTTCGCGTTGATAAACAAATTACAGCACCGAAACGAATTTGTCGCGCAATTTGTGAAAAAGTTATTGGTCTATTGTGTACATTAATTAGTTAATGGGTAATTGCTCAATTTATAAACATGTGCAATTGAGTGCAAGTGTGAGTGCATGTGTAACAATAATAAAGCCCAAAATTGGTCAATTGCAATAGCAATCACAAAAAAAATCAGATAATATCGAAAATAAGAAATAAGAAATCACAAATTGAAAAAAACAGTGTTTTAGACAAAGTTAAAGCCGCAAGAAAGCTAATCCAAAAAATTTACAATTTCGGCAGTTTTCCACATATTTTTCATTGATTTTTCGCCTGGCGCGCACACCTCCTTTGGGAGTGAGCAGGAGGGCGAGAGAGTTAGAGAGAGAGAAGCAATGCTTTTTGTCCTCTGTTTTGTGTACGTTTTGGCAATGGAACAGTAGCCCTCTCAGGCTCTCTCAGTCTCTCGTTCTCTCGCTCTCTCACCTCTCCCTGGCTGGATTATCCTTTTTTATATTTTGTTTATTTCCCTATTTTCCTGGCCACGTTTTGTGCTCACCATTCGTTTCGCTGCATTTCATTCTCGCAGCGTTTCAAATTGGCCACACACCGACTCAGAGAGTGAGAGAGAGAGAGCAGCTGCTTTCTCTCACACCCACCCCCCGCATAATGTTTTTCTGCTCTGCCCTATGCTCCCCTATTCGCATCTCTCTGCAGCCGTTGTCCTTTGTCCGCAGCGCGTTGCCAACCGAAAAAAATTTACAGTGCGGTTGTCATAATAAGAAATTAATCACGAAAAGAATTCAGAATTAACAACTAAAGTTCTTTCAAAGTACTTAATTTTCAAATCTTTTTTTGATGAAACCTAAAGAGCAGTTGTTTGCCTCTTCGCTGCATAAACATATATGTACATATGTTTCTGTGCCATTGACAAAGTAGACAAATTATATTTAAATTAAAATTAACACCACGCTCAAAAAAATCGATTTGGTTTTCTTCTAAGTAAAATATGTAGTTCACTGCGGCTTTAACTTTTGATTAAGAAACAAATATCTAATCCAGTGTCTTTCCCCTGCCCACAGTACTCAAGCCAGAAACAAAGTGGATAAAGGAAAATAAATAAGGAAAAACCAAGGAAAATATGCTCAGAAAACGCAGCCGTAGCCTACTTATCGCATAAAAAGCCGGTACGGATTCGTTAAGGGATTGCCATATAATCGCCGTCGCGTTAATTGCGCCCCGCCCCCTGCATCCCGATTATATATCCGACTAACTGTTATCGCGACCGTGTGTGTGTGTGTGTCTGCCTCTGTGTGCGTGAGCCTCTGTATTCTGTACATATGTACAATATTTGTCGTCGTCGTCGTGTATCGTTGTTGTTGTTCTTGCTGTTATCCTTATTATGCATCGTCCGCTGGCATTAATCTGCGTATAAAGTATAAAATATAAAAAATTTGTGTTCTTCGGTGTTGTCTCGTGTAAGTGTCTATAATTTGTTTAAGTACGACAAGCGATCGGTGCGAATCAAAAAATTATCCTGTCTGTGTGTGAAAATTGATAATAACGCTATCGAAACAACAACAGCAACAACCAAATCAATCAATCAACGTCAGAAAAAACCAACAAACAAGAAGTACTGGGACTGCTAAATTTGTCAATCTTCAAATCATTTTGGATCCAGGCGTCCACCGAGTTTCAACTGTTCAAAAAAAAGAATTCAGTTCATAAAATCTATTTTATTGGAAACCATTTGAAAAGGTGAGTTTTTAATGCTTTATTTATGTTTAACAATAAAGGGTTCTGATTTTTTTTTGATAGTTTCTTAGTTTGTTACAGATATGTACAAGAAAAGCAAAAGATTTTTTAAAAATCCTTTAACACAAGCAAAGTAAATCGTTATAAATGCATTTGTATCTAAGCTTTCGATGGCTTTGATATTTGTAAGCTGATTAACTGAAGAGTGCAACTTTTGAAAATAAAAATTCAGTAAAAATATAAAACCATGAAAATACTGGCTCAGTTGTGACATTTCAACGTGTATATCGTCAGCGGGTATATTTTTTCAAGGACGATTATTTATAAACTAAACTATTATTTAGAAACAAATTGAAATGACTTTATATTCGAAAAAGAAAATTTGTCAATCTCGAAAGGGAGCCTAAAGTTTGGTTTATTATTTAAAAGTGGTGTTTAGATATAGGAACTTTAACTGAGGCGGGTAAGACAAAACATATTTCCAAATCTTAATTCTCTGGAAAATGAACAGCAGAAGTTTAGAGCTCGAAAAGTGTTTTGAAATTGGGATTTAAAATGTGACGTTGACATTCCCAAAATGTCAGTTAAGTAGTTAACATCGGTCACGTATTGTCCTTTTTCCACGTTCTAAGATAAGGAAGAGCAGATATTGGGAGGATTAAAGTAAAGTCCATTTGATATTTGCGTGTGCCACACACTACTTCACTAGTGCGAAAGAAACAGCTGTAGAGTCCGACTCATTAGGACGAAACGAAAATGGTAGAAGTGCATTTTGCAGACAGATAACCTGCCACACACAGCAGGGGATATCGGAGCTCAGACACAGATACAAAACAGAGCAATTTCCATTTGAAATGTAAACAAAACACGCTGATACCCGCACAGTGGAACCGATGATTAGACGGTCGGAAAAAACAAAAGCGAACCGAACACTTAAGATACAGTTACAGTGGAACCACAAAAAGAGACCGCAAACTGATTTAAGTGAATATCAGTCTTTGTAAATATCAGTCTACTTAACACGAGTTGTTATTTCAATTAGAATGTGTTTGTTGGGAAACTCAAAAAAAAAAAAAAAACAATTTCAAAATCTTGCAAAATGGATTCTTGTCATAGTTCAATTTTCAAGATTTAAAAACCCAAAGACACTTTACAGAATTTTAATATAATATTTATGATGCGTATTTATTTTTACGAATTAATGTAAATAAATATTTTGGTGGACTTCAATTTTTTCGGCGCCTAACCAAACAGAAAAAATTCATTCAACCCGTGAGTCAGATTTAGTTTTTCTTTGCCCGTATTGATGTCAGAATTACTTAACCGATTTCACAGTTGTAATCTGTTCTTTTTCTATAATTGTATAATTTTTTCATCTATTCATTCTCGCTGCCAGATACACTGTAGATTGGAGAAATGTTTGTCGTCATCGTTTTTGATAGCTCTAATCTTATAATCGCTTGCATGTTCAGGCATCTGACCAACAGACATCTACGCTAATCCGCTATGATTAGCTTAATGGGACTTTGTTTCTTAGGTTTTAGGTCCCCTTTTTTTAAAGATATTCGTTTCATGAAATGTTATCTGAATTTATAATGGTAATTTGAAATCCCTGAATTATGGAAATGTAAAATAATACTATACAAAAATAATCTATACGAATCTGATGAGAAAAGTGATAGAATTGATGATATTTAAAATTACTTTTATTTAATAATTAACCTATAGTTTAAAAAAAATTGTTTGTCTCCCATTGTGAAATAGTTTGTTTGCTTAGTCTGTGGTTTAGATGACTCCGGACTGCTGCCATTTAACCATCTTCCCCCATTCCAAGCTATTTCACATTTTCCTAACCATGTATCTAAGCTATGTATCTAAGTATATCCAAAGAAGCCCGTATGTTTTGTATTATGTTACACAAATATTTAAGCTGCCTTAAGTAGATACAACGAAACGCGTTCAAGATACACAAATATAGAAAGAAAGACCCAAGGAAAAGAGGAACAACAACAACAACAATAACAACGCCTCGGAAAGAAAAGTTACATTTTAGTTAAATGTGCGGGTGCTGAGCCCAGTAGGAGTTGGATATTCACTTCTCCCCTGGCAAACAAAAACTAGAAAAGCTAAAGTCGTGCAATAAGTTATCGCTACCCCAAATAAATGGATGGGCAGACTAGCATATAGATAGATTAAACGGCAAATTCAAATTGAGTTGGCCTGCAAAAATGTCAAATTGGCTACAAATTGTTTAAATCATTTGCAGTGATGCTTTAACAAAAAAAAAAAAAAAATACATTAATGTTACACATTTAATTTCTACCGCTTAGCAAACTTAATTATCAATATTTGCTTGTCCTCAATCAAAACGAAATTCATTTAGAATAATTACTAAAGGTTTTATATGGTTTTATATGGTTATTCGAACTAAAATCAATATTTATATTTGTGGCAAATTAAAATGATAGAGGAAGAACGTTTAAAAAGGTATATATTTAAAAAATACTTAAAGTTTCTTTAGAGTTAATGCAATTAATGCAAATAAATCGTTCCACAAAACTATTTAGAAAAACACAAATGGATAAAAACTTGTTCCGAGCATTTTTTAAAGTAGCAAATGCACAAATTATTAACCGATTTTTATGTCGCCCAAGGGTAAAATTTAACTATTGTTATTTATAAATACATTTGACTGGAAAGAGCTGTAAAAAACAACCAGCACTGACTGTATGTGCCTTCTACTCGGTTTTCCTTTATCCAACTGTCTAACTGGTTCTTACTTGGGAATTTGGTAGCTGTTGGTCTTTTTTCCTTTTGCTGTTGTTTGCTATTTGTATAAGTTGTCTGCCGATGATCTTCTTTTTGTTGTTGTCTGTCGATACAATTTTCCGTCTTTTTGTTATCCATTGATACGCATATCGTTTGCCATTTGCCCCCACCCTAAACCAATTCAATTCAATTTCTACGATTTCATCTCGGTCAGAATGCAAGCTGGCAAAAACAGAAAAAAACAAAAATAAAACTTCACTTCCATGAGATGTGCCACTGTGCTAGCCAACAACGGTCCGCATGCTTATGCTAATAAATTTCAATAAATTCATGAATTATTTTACGGCCTAAATCTTGCTCGTTTGTTCTCTATGCATTTGTATCTGTATCTAGTGATGTTTTTTTTTGTTTGTTGCTGCTGTAATCTGACTAATACGCAGTGCAGTAACAGTTGCTTTTACCAGAATTTATAGTCTAAAACACAAGCAAATAACCCAGAAAGGGATAAATAAGAAAAAGCTAAATTCGTTTCGTTTTTACAAAGCTGACCCTGTGGGCGTTTTGTACTAATCAAGATACACGAGTCTAAAATGTTGTTTTAGTTCTTTCTATCTCTATGACCCATATTCTTGTCGTTTTTTTTTCCACTTTTACCAATTAAGCTTAAAACATGAATTATTTACCTTTGCGGGGAATAAGCTTAAAGTTTTTATTGTAAAATGACGGAATTATTTATCATTACTTATTTATTTATAAAAGAACACGTAGAAGCATTGCATACATTTTTGGTTAAATTGTATCAATAGCTTAAAAAATGAAGAATGAAAATTTGGTAATCAAAGTAAATATAGGTATATTATGTAAGCCAACCAATATCAATGATATAGGAAAAACATAGATTGTTATATACCAAAACACCCAAATTAAGAAAGGAATTTCGTCCCTGTGCCTCATCATTAATTTGATTATAATCATTATTCCTTGTCAGCTTGGGTAAAATTAAATGTGGATAACAATATAGACGAAGAATTTTAGGTAAACAAGAAGGCAAAAAAACACTAATAAATAAAAGGACAGAGAAAAACAAACAATGACTTAGAGGTAAAAAAAAAAACAAAATATTCGTCGCCTGGCGTGTTGACCAAATTAAGACCGCAAGTGGCTAGCAACCAAAATGATTGATTTAATGACGGTATCATTGACACTCGAATCGAGCGGCTATTCCGGCCACACCTAGCTTGGATTTGGAAAAATGAGGGGATGGCAAGGACAAATGGATTCCGCTTAATTAAATCTAGAAAAAGAAAACATAAAGTTGAGTTATTGCGTGATTTTTTGTGTAAAATTATAACTTGAACTGACGTGCTCATTAATAAAAAATTTGATCAATACTTACCTACAATATTTGATAGTTGTTATTTTGTATGAATAACAATATAATATAACGAGTAAAAGGTCACTGAATTTAAGCGTAAAATGTGAATAAAACTAAATGGAAAAGGCTCATTAACGCATAAGTTAAAAAATGGTTCATTAATATTGTATATACCTTTTCCTGGTATAATACAAATTTGTTTAATTTTTTTCCCGCATACAAATTCATTGCGCTCACGATATGGAATTTGTTAAAAAGACAATAAAATCGCAATTAAAATTTCCACTTAATCTAAAATCACTAGCACAATTAAAATTATGAATACATTATTATTTTAATAATTAAATTATTATAGAATGTTTGCGTTTAAGAGATTTTCTCTTGGCCCCAATCCCTAGCCCTTTCCTTTTCACCAACATTTTGTGTATGGCTCGCGTGTGTAAAGTTAATTGAAAAAAAGTAAACAACAAAAGCGGTTAAATTTCTTTTTATGGCATTCTTTTTAATGAACCCATTGACTTATATCAGTGCGCTTCCGCACAGTTGAAAGCCACGGGAAAATTTTTTTTATAATATTCTTTGTTTATGACTTTATGGCATACTTCATTTTAATTATTTATTTAACTAACAGCTTTAGCGCGTGCTTCACCACATTTCCAAATAATTTTTTTTTATGTCCACTTACTCCTCTTTTCAGCACTTGCATTTATTTTTAGTGGTTTATAATACAATTTACTATCTTAATTTATGACATTATTTGAAAAGCATAAAGTGTATACATGTAAACATGTACTTGTGTTTAGTTTAATCAAAAACAATTGTAAAATAGCTTGTATAGGATTCTATATAATATTTATTT